GCGTCTGAATGAAACAGCACACGTGCTTGGAGCATATATATAAGCTGGATTGGAAGGGGGGAAAAGGGCGCCTTGACAAAAGAATATGCATATCAAGAGGCATTTAGCATATTTATGGGAAATGCAGGTATGTGCATAGTACTACTCATGCCCGTGCATTATGCAGGATTAGCAGCATCAAAGGGAGGGGGTAGGGGTATCATTAATAAAGGGAAGGAGTGTTAATAGTATGTAGCTGCAGTAACTAAAACCACGTAAACAACTAAAGTATAAACTACATAGTATCATCAGTATACTAAATATACTCTACAATAAGCTGAGTTACTAACAGTAAGTAATACATTACAATTCTACGTCGTAAAACATATAATATGCTTCCATCTAAACTTTATTCTCTTACATCACACGAGTCTACACCGTACTATATACTGCCATAGACAAACCCAACATTAAATTATATACTGTATTGCTATAAACCACCTTATACATTGTAATATTGCACTATGTGTTATTCTACCCACCCTAATGTATATCACACTGCTGTATATTCACTATACAATTACGATACTATATATTACTTTGTACATTGTATTAAGCATATACATGTTATACTATTTGTTATTATACACTGTACCATTGACCGTCGTGTGAAAGATACTAAGAGGAAGCAACGAAATATGTCAATGGGTGAGTAGTGGTGGGAAACTTGCAGCGGAGGGAAACTTGCAGCGGAGAAAAGAATCCATTCCCTGCAGAGAATACAATGCCAGTGAATGGAACGCGGTCTGAAAGTCACCGTAAACGTGAACACAATCAGTTAAGATCCGAAATGGTTTATTACGTCCTTCCAATGATTGCTAAGCCAGAATCCATCTTTTCGGTTGAAATTGTCTCTGTGTTTGTATATGTGGATCGCCTCATGAACGAATCTCTCATGGTAACCAGATGGCTTTCCTCTGTGGTAGCAGTTACATTGGAGTTGTTTACGTGGTGGTTTTAGTTACTGCAGCTACATACTATTAACACTCCTTCCCTTTAACAGGACCCTGCGGGGTTGCCTGGTAGGAACGAACAATTGAATGGCTATAATAAAATGAAATGGCAAAAAATGGCCGCCAATAAGTGGATGCCCCGTGGCCCCGCCCTCCACCCGCGTAACCCCGCCCCGCCGCCCCATGTCGTTGTCCCCGCCCCCAGCTCTTTGCCCCACCCCTTACCGCTGTAACCCCGCCCCAACCCCGCGTAGCCCCGCCCTCCACCTCGTGCCCACGCCCCCTGCCGCCGTTGCCCCGCCCCCTGCTGCTGTAGCCCCGCCCAATACACCCCTAGCGGGGGAGAGATTCCCAGGCCTGGCTCTAGGCTGGAGAGCCGCCGACAAGGGGGGGGGGGGGGGGGGGGGGTAGGGAGTTTTTAATGTAAAAGCTTTCAATTTAAATGTTTCTATTAAAAAACATCAGGGAATGTAACATTGTTAAACATTAACTCCCTTTCACACACGCGGGGGAACTATACGAAGGGAGAGTTTGAGGCCTAGTTCTAGGCTTTAGGCCTAGCTGTAGGCTTTAGGCCGCCGTGAGTTAATTGTTAATTTAAATGTTTTAATTATTTATGTAAAAGCTTTAAATGTAAATGTTTCTATTTTAAAACATCAGGGAATGTAACATTGTTAAACATTAACTCCCTTTCACACACGCGGGGGTACGATACGAAGGGAGAGTTTGAGGCCTACGTCTAGGCTCTAGGCCGAGCTGTAGGCTTTAGGCCGCCGTGAGTTAATTTTTAATTTAACTGTTTTTATTATTTATGTAAAAGCTTTAAATTTAAATGTTTCTATTTAAAAGCATCAGGGAATGTAACATTGTTAAACATTAACTCCCTTGCACACACGCGGGGGAACGATACGAAGGGAGAGTTTGAGGCGTTGTTCGAGGCTTTAGGCCTAGCTGTAGGCTTTAGGCTGCTGTGAGTTAAATTTTAATTCACAAGTTTTAATTAAAAGCTATCTCAGGGAATTATAAGGGAATGTTACACTTGTTTAGCCAGGAAAGCGTCACTGAGTCTAAAGGTGTTTGTAGGGCCATGCCAAGTGTTTGCAGTAGGGGGCGATGTTGCTACACGGACGGACGGACGGACAAACGGACAGACGATATAATCTATTGTAGGCTGGTCCACTTCGTTCCTACCAGTATTAATGCTACCCCTATCCCCTCCCTTTGATGCTGCTAATCCTGCATAATGCACGGGCATAAGTAGTACTATTCACATACCTGCATTTCCCATAACCCTTCCATTTGATGCTGCTAATCCTGCATAATGCACGGGCATGAGTAGTACTAATCACATACCTGCATTTCCCATAAATATGCTAAATACCTTTTGAAATGCATATTCTTTTGTCAAGGCGCCCTTTTCCCCCCTTCCAACGCAGCTTATATATATATATACTCTAAGCACGTGTGCTGTTTCATTCAGACGCTGTCGCCATGACAGACCTGGTTTTCACCTGAGGAAGGCTGCTTGCGTTGTGGCCGAAACGTCGTGAGAATTATTTTATTGTATTTGTTGTAACGTTCTGACTTGTCCCTACTGGACATTGTGAACATTTGCTTTATCATTCATCGGAATCCTCCAGTATAAATATTCTGCTTCTGAAACGTTTTTGCTCTCTCCCTTCACCGACCCACACTGACTAGTGTAGTGAAGTATGGTTAATAGCCCCCACGAACGAAAGACGTGGAGAGGCTCTCATTCAGCACCTCTGGGTTCTCAGGCACCATTAGTGACACCAGTACGGCACCCATTTGGGTTCATATAGCGTCCACACGCACTTGCGTGTCAAGACACTCCACAAAAGCCGTGCAAAATTACTTCTCTGGTGAAAAGAAACAGGGTCTCCAGCAGTAGCTGTCTGGGCAGTCCCTGGCAGGGCCTGGGAAAATTAACACAAAGCACTGCCAACAGCATAGCATGGCATAAATCCCAAACGTGATTTGCACGTCAATATAACGTCACCATTCTTTACAAATATTACGTGCTTGAATTTGGTTGTATGGAGTGTGAGGCATTCTCTTTGGTTCTTTCGGTAAAGTCACGTAGGTATAAAATAAATCAAAATAAATTAAATCACGACGTTTCGGGCGCAACGTCCGTCATCAGGTGGGACAACCACAGCAAGAAACAATTGCTGAAGTGGGCAAAAGGGCTACTGTAACACGAGGCTATATAGGTAAGAGAGGGGCGGGGAGGAGCCAGAGAGGAGAGGCAGAGAGAGAGGTGTGGGGTAGGGGAAGTGGAGGGGCTGCTCGTGTCAAGAAAGAAGATGCCTCAAGAAGACGCCTCGTGAAGAAGAGTCAAGCCTCAAGTCACCCTGACCAGCCAGCAGCCCTTCTGGCTTGGTCACGCTAGTAGTATCCAAGAGTGTTGCATTTGTGTTAATAATAAATAGTATTGCCTCCCAAGAAGTTGTGAGTGCGCCTAATTCGAGCCTATTACACATACAATGAAACAAGAAAATGTAAAAAACAGAGGAATGGAATACAATACACTATTCGACATTATTGTAAAAAATAAATAAAAAGTCCATCCTCTGTGTTAGTGAATTTGTAAAATATTTTAGGCAGGATATTCGTTTTCAAATTTAGATTTTTTTTCTGGGGGGGGGACCCCAGACCCCCTGGAAGATTTGGTCCCCCCCCAATGTTGACTCCATGGCTACGGCCTTGGCCTACGGTGCCAATAATGGGTCTACGGTACCAAGCATGGACCCACGGCACCAATAATGGTCTCACGCTCCAATCATGGGCCTATGGCGCCAATCATGGGCCCAGGTGAAGAACAATCTTGATTTTCAGCTGCTTGGTAACTAACTGATCAAGAACACAAAGGATATTTTATGCACTGAAAACAGCACCAACCCGTGTTTTTACACATTTGATTCAAATGTTGACCTTGAAGTCCAATAGAAAGAAATGTCCTTGCAGTAGTTCAGCAAACAGTACTATGTTAGGCAGTCACGAGGTAGTGCGCTCGCTAGCTTGTGTGCAAAGGTTTCACCGTTTGAATCCGTTGGCCACTGATTAATTCTGCGGGTGTATTAAGCACAAACAATCTGCGCCCGTATACTTCACATTAGAGGTTAAGGATCCCGTAACGGCATTCGCAAGAGTAGGCCATTGCGTGGTGGAGTCACGGTTCAAAATTTTCCAATTTTGAAAAAAAATACCCACTTATTACTCAAAGGAATCTATTCCAAAATAATCGACCCCCCCTCCCACTGTGAAAACTTGACAGAACCCACATGTAAAAGAGTCATGAGTGATGCTTTCCACTGAGGGTCCCCTAGGCTAGACATCTGTGAAAATACTGTACATCTGTAAACAAAAAGAGCTTCATAGCTCATCGAATTTTTTCAGGATAAATAAAGATTCTGATTCTGGAATGGTTCATATGTGATAACAAGGTTCTGGTAGATGCTGAGGCATTTAAGCAAGTGCCCTTTCCTTTAAAATGCTCGTCCTTAAGTTGGCGTGAAACAACATTCACACTAAAAGCATAATAAAACATTTAGTCACGACTGTTGAAACTTTGTCTGATTTTTTAAATGGAATTTCCGGCCAGTCCATTCGGTGCTAAACTGGTGCGCGATGATGCCAATGCAGATGAATGGCGGGCAGCCCGAGTGTGTGTGGGGCGTGTTGCACATTGCGCCTGCCAGGCCATATTTACACGGCAGCCACCCTGCCTGCCTGGCTGCGTGGGTGGCCTCACAATGGGGTTTGTTTCCTTTCTGTGGTGTCCAGTGATATTGCCAGGCAACCGTCATATTTCTGTATAGTCTGTAGTAAATGGTTTTGCTTTGAGCCATTCAAGCCTTTCGAGCAGCAGATATATAAGATCTCCGTTTACAAAAAACGACAGTATATAATAAATGGTTCTTTACACATTTTTGTGAATTTATTTTGTTGTTATTGTTCACCAAGGCCTGATAGTTTTGCAGTAGAATGCACCTTCATTCTTATGTAACACAGCATTAGACGACAGTGCTTTAGTGTTGGGCGCTATTGTCCCTTGCGGCGCTTGCAAACATACACCATGTTTGGCCAAGGTGCTGGGCTCTGAGTGGGTAATAAGAGGTGAAAGGTGATGATGAAATGCGACCACGCCTCGTACCTGCCGAACACCTGCGTCTGTTCCTGACAGTTCTGAATACGCGTCCGTTATAACCACACGTGCGGGCTGGACACCTTCTAACCTATATATTACATTGTACATTCAGAGCAGGTAAGGACACATCCTCTTACTGCATAAGGATTTAATGAATGTGTGAAGTGCTAATATTTGAAGTGTGCGGCTGCCGTATTAATGTCAATGCTGTATAATGACTGCGGCAAATGGACGGTTAGAAAGCGCTCTTAAAAGGATATCTGGTGGTAAGTGCAGCTACTACTACTGCAGTGCCCTCATGCCATGTTGGTCATGGGGTTTAATTGACCAGTCTTCCCTGCGGTGGTGAGCGTGGGGTGGTGAAGGTGGGGGGGCGACAACCGGTTCGGACATCACTCGCCACCGATGTGAGCCGTGTGATCGGTGGCCACTTTTAGTGTACGTTATTAATGAAGTATTTTTGTAATGTTATACAATACTGTAATTTGAACCATTGCACATTTGCCTTAGTTACCATTGTGCACTGCTCATACCTTCTTGCCACTTACCTTTATCGCATTTCCCAAAGCGTACACATGTTTTTGAATGATTAGGAATATACACAGGTAGTCGTCGACTTATGAACACCCGTCTTACGAACATCCGTACTTACGAGCCAGCTTCCATGAAATATTAAAACAAATTAACATTGACTTAAAACGCGAACTCGCAATTGCAAACTGAACCGTGAAACTTAATTTGTTCAGAGGAGCGGTCCTCCACGAGAGACGCAATGAGCCGGCCTCTCCGTGTGAGTGAATGTTTGCGCATGTGTGTGTGTGAAAGTTTGAGTGGGCGCTACGAAAGCGGCTACCTGACTTCGATGCTTGCTCACGACCAACACCAAGTACCTGGTGTGGTGTGTAAACATCTCCACTGGGGGAGACAAAGGCGGCCGGGCGTGGTGTTGGCCACCCCCTCGTGTGCCGTGCCGGCCTTAAGTGCTACTCGTTAACAACACTTCCTCATCCAGTGTGTAAAGGCTACACGGGGGGGGGGGGGGTCTTTGTCTTTGCGTGCGCGCACGTGTGTGTGTCGGGGAGTGGTAGTGCAATGGTTAGCGTGCTGTGCTACCAACCTGGAAGCCAAAGTTCAATTCCCGCTCACGATCGACACCTGTGACGATTATCTGAATTGACTCAGCCTCAAATGAGTACCTGGTGCGGTGTGTAAACATCGCCACTGGGGGAGACAAAGGCGGCCGGGCGTGGCACTGGCACGCTCACCCTCTCTCGTGTGCCACAGTGCCGGCCTTCACCAGCGCTGCTCGCTAACAGCCCTTGCACCAACAGTCTGTTAAGGCTACACGGGGTCGGGGGGTCATTGTCGTTAGGGTGTGTGTGTATCTCTGTGTGTGCGCACGTGCTCCCGTGTGTGTGTATCTGTGTGTGCGCACGTGCTCCCGTGTGTGTGTGTCTGTGTGTTCGCACGTGCTCCCGTGTGTGTGTGTATCTGTGTGCTCGCACGTGCTCCCGTGTGTGTGTGTGTGCTCGCACGTGCTCCCGTGTGTGTGTCTGTGTGCTCGCACGTGCTCCTGTGTGTCTGTGTGCTCGCACGTGCTCCCGTGTGTGTGTCTGTGTGCTCGCACATGCTCCCGTCTGTGTATGTGTGTGCTCGCACGTGCTCCCGTGTGTCTGTGTGCTCGCACGTGCTCCTGTGTGTGTGCACATGCTCCCGTGTGTGTGTCTGTGTGTGCGCACGTGCTCCCGTGTGTGTGTGTTCGCACGTGCTCCCGTGTGTGTGTGTTCGCACGTGCTCCCGTACGTGTCTGTGTGCTCGCACATCTTATCTTAAAACTCGCCTTTTGCCTATCCAAGGACGGGTGTATTGCAGTAAATCTGAAACTTGCTAACAGCCCTTGCACCAACAGTCTGTTAAGGCTACACGGGGTCGGGGGGTCATTGTCGTTAGGGTGTGTGTGTATCTCTGTGTGTGCGCACGTGCTCCCGTGTGTGTGTATCTGTGTGTTCGCACGTGCTCCCGTGTGTGTGTGTGTGCTCGCACGTGCTCCCGTGTGTGTGTCTGTGTGTTCGCACGTGCTCCCGTCTGTGTGTCTGTGTGTTCGCACGTGCTCCCGTGTGTGTGTGTGTGCTCGCACGTGCTCCCGTGTGTGTGTGTGCTCGCACGTGCTCCCGTGTGTGTGTGTGCTCGCACGTGCTCCCGTCTGTGTGTGTCTGTGTGTGCTCGCACGTGCTCCCGTGTGTGTGTGTGTGCTCGCACGTGCTCCCGTGTGTGTCTGTGTGCTCGCACGTGCTCCCGTCTGTGTGTGTCTGTGTGTGCTCGCACGTGCTCCCGTGTGTGTGTGTGTGCTCGCACGTGCTCCCGTGTGTGTCTGTGTGCTCGCACGTGCTCCCGTCTGTGTGTGTCTGTGTGTGCTCGCACGTGCTCCCGTGTGTGTGTGTGTGCTCGCACGTGCTCCCGTGTGTGTGTCTGTGTGCTCGCACGTGCTCCCGTGTGTCTGTGTGCTCGCACGTGCTCCCGTGTGTGTGTCTGTGTGCTCGCACATGCTCCCGTCTGTGTATGTGTGTGCTCGCACGTGCTCCCGTGTGTCTGTGTGCTCGCACGTGCTCCCGTGTGTGTGCACATGCTCCCGTGTGTGTGTCTGTGTGTGCGCACGTGCTCCCGTGTGTGTGTGTTCGCACGTGCTCCCGTGTGTGTGTTCGCACGTGCTCCCGTACGTGTCTGTGTGCTCGCACATCTTATCTTAAAACTCGCCTTTTGCCTATCCAAGGACGGGTGTATTGCAGTAAATCTGAAACTTGCAAGCGAAAAGCAGACCGCGACGTGATATTCATTGCATTAATGCCTGTGCCATTTGTAATATACATTTTATACAGTATTACATGCAAATGTACCATATTTATTCTTATGTGTTTAACAATGCTCCCCTTTTTGTTACAGATTTCATAACACTGACCGTATGAGCATTTAAAGACAGTGAATTATTATGTTCTGACTTACGAACCGTTCGACTTACCAATGGGTCTCAGGAACGAATTAGGTTCTTAACCCGAGGACTGCCTGCTGAGTTACTTATGCTGTGCGATGCTTTTATAAATACAATCTCTCCATCAGTGAGGGCATCTGGATCAACATTGGTATCGCAAACCCCACGCTTCACATTGAAAATAGCAAAGATAACTTGAATCCCAATTCGATGCAATTCGTATCTCCTGGTGGGTGATACTCGAAAGCAATTTTCTTGGAGCTGCTTTATATCTTTCGCATGATTGCTATAAACCTCAGAATGACTTTGAAAGAAAGGTGTTTATATAGAATGTTTTTTGTTCACTTCGTTAGACACTTAATGGGCCACTACAATTTAAAGTAATACACGATGCAAAGTCCACCATGCACATTATCTTATCTTATTTACCGAGATACACACATTGGCTGTGTCCTAGGCTGTCTAATACTGAAACTTCGTAAGGATGAAAATTACTTTTCAGTTACTTTTATTAAGACCGATCTTGTGTATTTAGTTTGCATCATCCTCTAAGAACTTGTAGCCGTACAGTAGGTGTGAGACAGTTACTTGCACAATTTATAATAATTCTTGAATTTTTTTTTGGTATTCTTGCGTGTGGTACTGGTTCATGGTGGTGGAGCATTTGAAAACTTAAGGTACATTACACGTAAGTAAAACAAGTTAATGTAAAAAAACCTGCGTTACTGTATAATTCAAAGACGCACATAAATATTGTATTTACCGTGTTTATGTTTGTACTTAGAATTAGGACAATAAGCAAACTATTTGAACGATGCTATGAAGTACTGTGTGCAGTTTTGGAATAGATTTAAAGGTATTGTATCTTGAGCAGATTTGCCAGATAGCACTGAGATGTTATGGCATAGTATTAGCACAACGACATCAACAGGTGAGAGCCATCTGATTTGCTTACGTTTTGAATGGTTTCAGATGCACAGCACAAACAGACTTTTAGGAGTCTGTGATGTCAAAGCTAAAGGACTCCAGCCGGGTGGCGCCTTCACTGGAGGTGAGCAGGGCATCCACTCCGCTGCCGGGCATTGGAGGAGCAAGCCACACGGAGCACGCTGATGGGGGCCTCAAAAAGACAACCAGCTTCACAGGGAAGAGGAGCCGAATCACCAACGCCACCCTGCCCGAGGAGAAGGTACACACACAGTATGGCCCCCCGAGGCACCACTTCAAGTAAAAACTCCTCTCGTGACCTTGAGGTGGGCAAAAGCGACATTTGGTGGTGCAGGGCCTCATGCCAGCACCCCCTTATGTGTGTATGGACACATTGTCAACATTTATACTACGATAGGTGCTAATTTAGTCCATCCATGTGTAATAAGTGGCTCCGATACGGCAGAACTTTATTTAATATTTATTAAAGGTTCTTGCACAGTCACGACTCCTCTCGTTCCCGCGGATGCCGTTGTTGCTCTCCGGCGTGACTGCGCTTGCCCCGCGCCACGTGGCGCTCACCCCGCTCTCAACCGCACCACTGACTGGCAGCGCGCTGGGGAGCGGCCGAGCGGCTGGAGGTCGAGCCGCCACGTGGCTGGTGGAGATGGTGGGGCAGCAGCTCCTCTTCGATCTTCAACCACTACCCCGCTTATATTCGCTCTTGCGAGGCTAAGCCCCGCCTCTGGCCACGCCCCTCTAGGAACCTTCGAGAACGTTCCAGAGGCTTCCATGCTAGCTCCGCCCATAACCTTCCCTCCAAGATAGAACCCTACTACTGATAAGGCGTGGACTGTATGACAGTATTTAAAGTGTAACCCCTCAATTATGCAGGAGATGGCGCTCGCTTATTACACATCTGTAGTGGAGTAACGCGCACGGGGTCTTGCAAACAGTGTGCACGCATGTGTGAGCTGCGGACAGTGAGGTCACATCAGGGCGAATAGGTGCTGTGAGAGAAAACAACGAGAGACGACCAATTAAGGTGCATAGCGGTGATTGGCTGGCTGCAAATGCAGGCGCGGAACAGGCGCCAGGTTGGCGAGAGATTGAGGCGATAGCACGGGCGAGAGGCGACGGGAGGACGCCTGCTTAATTATGGCATTTAATGAGGAGCACTATAAATAGGGAACGTGTGAGGCAGAGGAGTTTAGTTGGTTGGAGTGAAGACAAGAGTGAACACAAGAGAAGTCCGGGGCCCCACTCTCCACACCTCGTCCTCTCCAGCGGTGATGGCTGATCCCCCACTGGAGGCAAGGGCGAGGTTGGAGAAGCGAGGGTAGACAGGCTAGCAGTAGAGAAGCTAGCGGAATCCTAAGTGTGAGTGCGCGAAGGCTAGCAGTAGCGAAGCTAGCAGAGTGTATAGCGAGAGGCTAGCAGCAGAGAGGGTAGCAGTGGATAAGCTAGCAGAATATATAGTTAGAGGCTAGCAGTGAAGATGCTAGCAGAGTGTATAGTGAGAAGCTAGTAGTGGAGAAGCTAGCAGAGTGAATAGTAATAAGCTAGCAGTGGAGAGGCTAGCAGAGTGTACGGTGAGAAGCTACAAAAGTGTGTAGTGATAGGCTAGCAGCGGAGAGGCGAGCAGAATGAGAGAGAGTGGAGCGAGTGGAGCGTGACTGACAGGCTAGCAGCGGAGAGGCGAGCAGAGCAAGAGAGCAGGATAGCAGCGGAGAGGCTAGGAGAGAGAGAGAGAGAACAGGCTAGCAGTGGAGAGGCTAGGAGAGAGAGAGAGAGAGAGCAGGCGAGCAGAGCAAGCGGAAGAGTTGCGACGGAGATGGGTGGTGTTGAACGCGAGGAGTTCTGTTCGAATAAAGTGACAGAGGAGAAAAATAAGTTGTCCGCGTGAAATAACACCACTACACACGCATCAAAAATAGCAATTACAAGTGTTTCAAGACCCCCTATGGACTGACATCTGCCGACGTCTCTCTTCCCATCTTGCTCAGCTCTCCGCAACGCACCACCCACATGGCTGCCTCCATTCTCCTGTTCGAGTCCACTTCTCCTTAGCCTACAACTGACAATTGTGTTGAATACTTAATTCGGAATGTTTTTTTATATGAAATACTTTCAAGAGAAGATCTGAAAGGATATATAATCGTAACTGCTTTTATCAGGTACATTTTTAGATGTTAGTGGTAAATTCTTGGTTGATTGCTTTACACCTTCATTCGTCCATGAAAAAAGTATTGCATAAAAATATTGAGTCAAATTACTTAAATAAAACTAAAACAACTTCAAACACAAGTTTTAGATATGTTTTTAATATAAGAACCGTATTATTTCATTGGCTCATTGTAAACATGCAGATTTCAATATTATTCGTACTCTACAACAAAGGGATGACATGAGACACATCTCAGCAGATAACGTGACCAACAGTCACACTACTGCTGTCAGCTGCATGGGTTAAGTTTCAGGAAAAGTCGGCCCATGCTTGCCAAGTTTTAAAACGACCGGCACATTACTGAATTTGAAAGATCATGTTGCAACATCACCTCCCTGCTGGCAGACGATAGCCATTTGCAGGCTGGTGCTGCATCCAACTTGTGCTGTATAGGGATGGTTGCCACTGGGTGGTCTCCTGAGTCAGACTGACACAGGGCATTTGAATGGTACTGTGAGATGCTTAGACATTGCAAGCAAGTGCCACTATAAATGCAATTTTTTGTGTGAAATATTCATGCTCAGGAGTGCAGTGCCGCATCTCCAGACTTCACGGACATTCCTCAATGCTGTTGCGAACATGTGTCTTGTCACAGGAAGCAGTTAGAGCCTGGATAAGCCAGAATATCAAAATGAAGGTGTGCTGCTGGTACATGGAGTCTTCAACAGCTGGGTGAGGGCACACTTTTCTGAATGTGTACATTTGTGTTCGTAAAATGTGGATGGAGTCTGGAATGTCGAGTACTCTATCCATTTACATAGCTACAAAATGCTTATCACACGATTGTTATGCCAGAAAGTGACCTGTAAAATCACAGGCTATAGGTAAGGTAGAGGGTTGGAAAAAAACCAAACCCATAAAATGTAACTGGTATTGGCCAAACATCCGCATTCTATAACCTTACATTGCAAATTAATTCATTGGGATTACACAGCAGCAACATCAGCTCCTCCTGCAAAAAAAACTTGGTAGGGCCTTCCTGGAATGTAATCTTGAGACTCGTTAAGGATTGCCTGGGTAAATGAAGTGTTATCAGTGGCGTTGGGCTGCACACAGAAGTCTCTGCTTGTATTGCTGTTGTAAACCACCCATTCAGGTATAGATGTATTCTCGACCTGCATGGGTGAACCGCAATGCCTGAGCATGGTGTTGTAATTGTGCTTGTACAAGAATTAAGAATGAGCTCTATGTTATGGGAGTGTATCTATATGTGATAATGTATCGTGATCAGCAATTTTAAAAGCACACTCAGTCCAGTGCACCTACAACCATCTCCAGCTCCTCTCGGATGGGGTGCAGTAGAGCATTTGAACCTTATGACGGTACCCCGAGGGACCGTAGCACCCCGGCTCTCGCACAATGTCCGTGATGCAGTCATTTTTAGTCCGTTGATGGTCGGCGATGCGGAAATCGACTCATCTCGACGAGCTGTACACGATGCACTATCGTGCAGACGAGCGTTCAGGGTTGCAGTACAATCGTTTTGTACCAGGCCAGCCTACAATCCATTGTGCCCGTCTCCACGTGGTTATTTCTTGTGCGGAATGCCGAGCTATGATTGTGTTATGCTGACTAACTGTCAATGGCTATATTAGATGGGGTTGGATTCCTGTGTGACCCCCTTAAACTGCAGGATTGAATGCCTGCGCCACAAGGTGACGACGGCTCTGCATTGGCCGGTGCCGCTCGCAGGGTGTGTGAGTGCAGGCACCCGCGTTCTGAGCATGCCTCCACCGCACTGCGCAAGCCCACTCTGCTGGGAGAGAAATGGGAGCCCGCCAAGCACACTGTGAAAGAGCCCACCAATGCGTTCGGAGACATCCAATTCACCGGCCTTGGCCAGAGGCTTGGCAAAGTGAGTCCTGCGCAGCACGTGGGTAGCACTTGGTCATCCCAGCCGAGGGATGTAAGGGGGAGATCCAGCACGGAATGGCTCTCGTGTTGTGGAGATGCACACCGTGGCCATGTCAGGCTGCCTGACAAATGTTCAGCTGGGATAATGAACAAAAAAACCTTGTACATTTATAAAGTGCATATAATATTTAGTTGTTACGTTTCCAAACTAAACCGTAGTGTGTCATTCGATTAATTTGGTTTCTAATTATTCCCACACAATTTTCCCTTCCATCCGCATCCCGGCCATCATTATCATCGCCCCTGCCGTGCTTACCATAAGAGATGTTCTAAGCTTCATTGTTAAACATCACAGCACAAAGCACCGTCCATGTGAGGTTGTAGAGGCCATGGCAGAGCCGAGCCAAGCCGTGGCGGAGCATACCGCGCTAATAGTGAATATACGAGTGTTGTGGAGGATTTCATCTGCGTGACTGTCACCCGCACAGCTGTAGGCATGTGAAGTCAATCGACAGTGTTTCTAGCTTTGGAAGGGCAGCGTCACGTTATATCTGGCAGGAATGAATAGCACCCTAATTAGTGCTGCGTAAAATAAATGGTGATTCTAAAAAAATAAGTGTCTAGAAAATAACTTTTTATTTCAGCAGAGCAAACGATTTCGCAGACGTGCCATGAAAACCAACTACGGTAATTGGTAATCCAGAAACACTGTTTTGTATGTTCCACATCCGTGCATTATGTTACAATCTGGTAATTATGGGTGTAATGATGCATTGGGGGATATTGATTTTCAAGGATTGCTCTGCATGCATTGAATCGTATGTGCAAACCACTTAACTTATACAAATATGCACACAAATATGCACACAAGATGCGAATGTTACATTTAGGCAAACGAGACAGTAACGTGAGAAACAAATCCTAGATTGGTAGCAACTAACAGTGCACGGGGGGGGGGGGGGGGGGGGTGATAGCGAATCGTTAATATTACCCATAAGGGTGATGCGCGATCTTCCATTGTACTGTCCACAGCAAGGTTTCCCTGTAGCAAGTAGCTGAGATTCCCTCAAGGGACTCAAGCAAGATTGAAAACTAATTTATTTAGAACTGATTTGTGTGCTTAGTTTCTTGTCCTCCCGTAACTCCGATTAGCATGACTCACTATGTACGAGTTTGCATGCTCTCCCTGTGGTCGCGTGGATTTTTCTCTGGGTCCTCTGGTTTTTTCCCTGCACGTTTAGAATAAACACGCGTTTAGAGTTTCGATTAAAGTTTTCGTGACTGCAGGGATTCATCTTCTTGGTTCTTTCGGTAAAGTCACGTAGAATGGAAATAATAAAATAAAAATAAAACATTATAAAATAATTCTCACGACGTTTCAGCCACAACGCAAGCAGCCGTCCTCAGGTGAAGAACAGGTCTGTCAGAAAGACAGCGTCTGAATGAACACCACCAGGCTTGGCAGCGTATATTTAAGCTGGGTTGGAGGGTGAAGAGCGCCTTGACAAAGGAATTTGCATATCAAGAGGAATTTAGCATATTTATGGGAAATGCAGGTATGTGATTAGTACTACTCATGCCCGTGCATTATGCAGGATTAGCAGCATCAAAGGGAGGGGATATGGGAAATGCAGGTATGTGATTAGTACTACTTATGCCCGTGCATTATGCAGGATTAACAGCATCAAAGGGAGGGGATATGGGAAATACAGGTATGTGATTAGTACTACTTATGCCCGTGCATTATGCAGGATTAGCAGCATCAAAGGGAGGGGATAGGGGTAGCATTAATAAAGGGAAGGAGTGTTAATAGTATGTAGCTGCAGTAACTAAAACCACCACATAAACAACTAAAGTATAAACTACATAGTATCATCAGTATGCTAAATATACTTTACAATAAGCTGAGTTACTAACAGTAAGTAATACATTACAATTCTACGTCGTAAAACATATAATATGCTTCCATCTAAACTTTATTCTCTTACATCACACGAGTCTACACCGTACTATATACTGCCATAGACAAACCCAACATTATATACTGTATTGCTATAAACCACCCTAAACCTTATACATTGTAATATTACACTATGTATTATTCTACCCACCCTAATGTATATCACACTGCTGTATATTCACTATACAATTACGATACTATATATTACTTTGTACATTGTATTAAGCATATACATTTTATACTATTTGTTATTATACACTGTATCATTGACCGTCGTGTAAAAGATACTAAGAGGAAGCAACGAAATAAGTCAATGGGAGAGTAGTGGACGGAAACTTGCAGTGGAGCAAAGAATCCATTCCCTGCAAAGAATACAATGCCAGTGAGTGGAACGCGGTCTCAAAGTCACTGTAAACGAGAACACAATCAGTTAAGATCCGAAATGGTTTATTACGTCCTTCCAATGATTGCTAAGCCAGAATCCATCTTCTCGGTTGAAATTGTCTGTGTGTTTGTATATGTGGATCGCCTCATGAACGAATCTCTCATGGTAGCCAGATGGCTTGCAGATAACCTCTGTCTTGGAGAAGTCAATATCACGTGAGCCCACTGAATTGTAACAGTGATCTGCCACGGCTGAGGTGTTTGTCCTACCGTGTTTCAAGTCTGCTTTATGTTCACGGATGCGATCCAAAACATGTCGTTTGGTTTCTCCAATGTAACTGCTACCACAGAGGCAACTTAGTTTGTAGACGCCAGGGTACTGTATGTCTGGAACCACATCTTTTACAGACGGGACCAGATCACGGATTTTATGTACTGTGTTGAATCGGACCTGGATCTTGTGTTTTATCAGGATTTTGGAGATCTTTTTTGTGACCCCAGTAATGTAGGGTAAGGTGATGATCTTGAAAGGCTCCTCAACATAATCCTTCTTGATGGTTGGAGTGATGGCTTTGCGGATTGTGTAGTCGGAGTAACCATTAGCCTTAAGAGCTTGGCGTACGTGTTTGAGTTCACTGGCAATGTGTTCCTGGTCGGAGATGCATTGGGCTCTATGGTATAGAGTCTTGATGAGGGAATTCTTCTGGGATGGATGGTGGTGGGAATCTGGTTTTAGGTAAGCATCTGTATGGGTGGCTTTCTTGTAGACAGAGTGGCTCATTGAACCATCAGGTCTCCTTTTAATTAGGACATCCAAAAAGGGTAGCTTGCCATCTTTTTCGACTTCTATTGAAATTCCTTTGTCAAGGCGCTCTTCCCCCTCCAACCCAGCTTAAATATACGCTGCCAAGCCTGGTGGTGTTCATTCAGACGTTGTCTTTCTGACAGACCTATTCTTCACCTGAGGACGGCTGCTTGCGTTGTGGCCGAAACGTCGTGAGAATTATTTTATTATGTTTTATTTTTATTATTTTATTATTTCAATTCTACGTGACTTTACCGAAAGAACCAAGAAGACGCGTTTAGAGTGTTTGACTGCTGTACATTTCCACATGATAAACCACTTCGTTGAGCTATAATTTGTGGCCAGGTTGGTTCTAAAAAAGAGTTATATAGCTCAGTGGGCCTTACCTGGTAAAATATCTTCAGTTTAGTTTGTTAACATCGACTTTGTGCAGCCAGGTTTACATGCTGTGTTGGTTGAGGGCAGCATTGCAGCACCTGTGCTGCACTAGGCACGCCCTTGTTGCTTCACTTGCCTGTTGCGTCACACGTCACCTTGGGTACCGCGTTGACGCTGGATCAGTTTCTGTCAGGTTAGATGGCTCGGTCAACAATCCTTGCTGCTCTCCATTGTGGCAGCTTTTAATGTCGAGCATGGTGCAGTGCACATGTAACCAACCCAGCGCTTTGGAAGCAACGGTTGATTTCCTCAACCAGTTAAGACTCCACACCTGCTGGGTTCGGTGGGCAGCAGGGTGGCGCAGTGGTAATGCTCCTGCCTCGTAGGAAGAAGTTCATGGGTTTGATTCCTAACTTTCTTTGTGGAGTTTGTATGTTCTCCCCCTGTTCTGCATGGGTTTCCTCCGTCTTTTCCTGTTTCCTCCCGTGGATTATAAAACACAAGGTAATGGCCAAACATCCCAATGCTGAAAAAGTATTTGCACATTACACAATAGGAATTGCACGCAGCGGCATCAACATCGCCCCCTACTGCAAAAAACTTGGCTCGACCATTCTGAAACATAACTCAGTGAGGCTTTCCTGCATAGTAAACAATTGTAATTATATCAACAATAACAACAATAAAATAATGACTGCAGGCCATGGTGCGCTTTATAATACATTTCCTGTGCACAGTATTTCTTTACGGTTTATTTGAAACAGAATATTTGGCACAAAGGTCACGTCATAAAAAAGTAGACTCAGTGATACTGTACTTTAATAAACAAATTTATATTTGTAAGGCGCATTTCATCTGTAAATCTTAATGCGCCCCATGTATGGAAAGCAGGAAACATAACCTGCAGGGAAAAGGGCCAGAACTAGGGGATAAAGGCCAGTTTAAAGAGTTGAGTTTTCAAGACAGACTGAAATATAGCTAACGACTCTGATTGTCTTATGAGCAAAGACAAAGTGTTCCAACGCTTGGGGCTGCACTGACAAAAGCCCGATCAGCCCAGGAAATGAGATTTGACCTCAGAGTAGTGAGAAGAAGGCGATCTGGAGATCTCAAAGAACTCGTTGGTGTTTAAACATGGATGAGTTCATGTTAATATTGCGGAGCTAACCCAAGATGTGAAATACCTTACCTGCTATACAGGAGTTCGTGAGTTCGATCCCGACCCCGACGCCTGTATATTTCGAGTTTGCGTGTCTCTCTCACCCGTGGTCGTGTTGATTGTTTTACAGTTCCTCTGGTTTTCCCCTCCAAATTTAGAATCATCTGTCTCGAGTATTTGGCTGCAATGCATTTCCACATGATAAGCCACTTCGTTGAGCTCTCATTTGTGGCCAGGTCGCTTTTGAAAAATATCTAAACAGCTCAGTGGACCTTATCTGCAAAATTTTAAATAATTGTAATAGTTTATAGTTTTAGAAGTGCTGCTGTCAATGCCCGTGAGTGTGTTACTCGAGATTCCGTTGGGGCTCAGTTTGTGCGCGTAGGCAACGACACGGAGCCCAGCGTGCTCTTCAAGCTGATGATGGAGCACTGGCACCTGGACGTGCCCAACCTGCTCATCTCGGTCACGGGCGGGGCCAAGAACTTCCACCTGAAGCCCCAGCTGAGAACCATGTTTCGCCACGGCCTCAACAAGACCGCACGCAGCACAGGTGATCACGACTGGGCGTCGTGCACCATAGAGCCACCCGGGGTTGGTGGATGACCGCACAAATACTGATGGTTCGCCGGGAGAAGGCAGTACAGCTAGTGGACCGTTCGCCATCTGTATTCCATATGTACAGTCATCAAGTGTTGCCCCCTCGCTCAAGGCGAGGGTTGTCTCCGGGTGCTCCAGTTTTACCCTTTCTGGCAATAATTAATTGGCTGAAAACTTCTTAAAATAAAAAAAACAATGTTGGACCCTCCTGAGAAAGAGAGTCCTACAACTCAGTGTGGTTTTCCTGGATAAATAAGTAACACACATCACATCTAATCACATCTAATCTTAAACACTTGAAAGGGCCCCTCCAGTGGCAGCTGCCCCTACTTGACACAAGGTGACCCAGCATCTGTCCTGCAAGTGGGCACCAGTCTGCCAGCAGGGAGGGGCGATAATTGTTGCCTTGTGTTCAATGTAGCAGCCGTGATGTTATTCTAAAGAGTAGGCCATGGTTGGTCTGGCATCATTTTGGCCAAATTTGGAAACATACCCTCACATTCCTCAATTGGGATTACACACATAGCAATACTGATACCCCCGCTGTGAAAAAATACTCGGCAGGACCCTCCTGAAAAACAGTCATGAGACTCATTGAGGCTTTCCTTGGTAAACGAGCAGAATAAATAATGTGAATAAACGTTCTTGATGAGAAACAGCCTGGTAGGTATTTAACTGTCTGTACCATACGTGCTGCCATGTGTGCGTATTTTCTACCGTATAACATGGGGAGCGGTAGTGTCGCGGTTAACGCACCGTGCTACGAACCCGGCAACCCGAGTTCGATTCCTGTTCACAGCCAACACCAGTGACGATTATCTGAACCGGTCTTGGGCGTCCCCTAGGTCTACTCAAGCTCAAATGAGTACCTAGTGTGGTGTGTAAACATCGCCACTAGGGAGACAAAGGCGGCTGGGTATGATACTAGACACCCGTCCCGTCGTGTGTAGTGCCGGCCTTCATAGGTGCTCGCTAACAGCACTTGCCCTGATAGTCTCTTAAGGCTATACGGGGGATCTGTGTTTGTGTGAGTGTGTAAAATGTGTGTATTTTGTTGGTATTCAAGGAGCGTGGATAATCACGGGTGGCTCCTACGCCGGCGTGATGAAGTACGTGGGCGAGTCGGTGAGGGATTTCGCCTTGGCCAGTGGCTCCAAGGAAGGCAAGATCGTGGCGATTGGCATAGCAACCTGGGGCATCATTCACAACAAGGGGCACCTCATAGACGCGCAGGTTAGTATTGGGAGATCATAGAAAATTACACTGCTCATGATCGAATTGGGATTACATACTGCAACGCTGCCTCCTGCTGTGCAACTACGACAGACTGTGTCTGTGGAACGCAGCACTTTCCTGAGTGATACCCCTGCCCAGTATGGACAGCGAGAATACCAAATGCAATCAATTAATGTTACTAATATTCTTACATCGTTTAAATATGGTTGGTACACATAAATGGCAAGTGTATGAAGACTAATAAAATGTTGGACATTTTTCAAAACTATTATCATTAATAGAACTGGAGAGCATCCTGCACAACATGCATTGCTTTTTCAGGAATTGCATTGCTGTACTATTAAATATCTCGAATACCAAATGTAATTGATTATATTCTTGCATAAGATGCCAATACATTCAGGTGCTAACTGCCAATGTCAAAGTCTTCTGGCCGTGAAGAGAGGGCATCAGATGAGAGAATTTGTATAGTTTTGCTGTTCCATCTCCTCTGTTGAAGGAGTGTCACACCACAGTGGATTTGGCTGTATGGTCTATAGTTTGGGTTGTTTGGGCACAGTTACACTAATGTGGCTAGTCTTTATTGTATTTTTACGAGTCTCTATGTGTCTCTATGGGTTTAATATATGATTCAAGTTTGGGGTGGATGACCACAACCGCACTACTGTGGCTTGTGTCTTTAATTTTCCAACCATGAAGGAGATGTGTGCATCAGCCTATTGGTTATAAATGCAATTGATGGCCCCAGCAGTGTCTTTGAGAAGGAGGCACCTCAAAGCATGGAGGTGCAATGATGTTAGGGTCTCTCATGAGGCGTTTATTCCGGACGTCCGCGTGGTTCCACCCTGTTCGCACAGCACCGTTCATGCGATCGGTAATTATTGCCGTTGTGAATGCTGCTTTGAACGTTTTTGCTGTGCGTGCGTTGGCAGGGCAAGTTTCCGGCAGAGTATCCCATGGACGAGGCTGGCCAGGGGCGACTCTCCTGCCTGGACAACAACCATTCTCACTTCATCCTGGTGGACAACGGCACGCACGGCCAGTACGGCGTGGAGATCGTGCTGCGCGCCCGGCTCGAGCAGTACATCTCCACGCAGCACACGGGAAGCGGCGGTGAGTGCCGCAGCAGCAAAGGAGTGGGCGTCGGAGGCAATTGTGCGGCACGGTTATGGGATATGTGTGTCCGTGTCAGACTGTGTGGCAAAATCGTATTAATAATAATTTAGCACATTGGCTGTTCACGTTATTCTTACAGTGCAAGCCTATCACTGAGGAAGACTTGCCAATGTTTCACAGACTTAGTATGCAGTAGTTTTTCAGTAGGCGGGGGCATGTTGCTGCTGCGTAATCCCAGTTGAGTAACTTTTGGTGTAATTTTTCAGATTTGGCAAATTTGAACAGTGATGCTGGTGCACAATGGCCACTCTTTTCGAGTAACGTCACAGAATTTGTATCGTCCACGTAGTTTACGGTTAGCACACACCACAGTATTAACCAGGGCGGCCTTCCAGATTCCAACTGTAAACATCTGCAACAAGCGGCTGCTACAGCTGGACCGTGTCACTGCCCCCACCTTCTCCTTCCACCCCTAGGCTGCCGTTGAAGGCACAGGGGAAACATTTCACTCAGATGTTTGGACGTAAAAATGTGACCGTATATTCATCCGTCTCTGAGTGACCAACTCCACTGTATGAGGAGCTTTTGAGGTCACCGTTCCCACACTGTGCTCTCCTTTCCTCGGCCCTGTAGCCTTTACCACCCCCCTCACTCACTCTCACTTTCACTCCCCAGTGAAATTCTGAAATCCTATTAAAGTCCTCTTTACCATCACTCATTCCCTTCCTCTTCCCTCCCCTCACCCCTCCACTCAATCTCGTCCCTCCCCTATAGCCATTTCATGACCCTGCCATCTAAATCACTCGATTTTTTGTAACCGCTTCTAAACCATGTAAAGTGCTTTGAGCTAAGGTGTTTTATAAATAAGATAAGAATGCCCACTCATTTGTACAGATTCTTGAGATGCGAATGCAGGTATATTCTTTATTAATCTACATTGAATTGCGTCAAAAAAAACTCTCAGTTATTATTAAAACTACAAAATATATTAAACACAGAAGCTGCAAATATTAATCAACACTCAAACATAACCCACACCCTAAACGTCACTTTCTCATCGCTCACTCGCTCTCACGACGACGCTCCACGTGGATCCGTTTCCTGCCAGGCAGCCCCTATGCACATTGTACAGTCGTCTGCTCGCAATCGATGCAGCGCTTTGCGATGTTGTTGCACGCCGTGCGTGCGCTGCCTGAATTTACAATGAGAGCACGTCAGACCGCTGCTCCCACTGCTGCAAGCAATTGATGCCATTAAATTGTTTTTTTTTTAACATCCATTAATGAGCTCGTGGGGCATTTTACGATTTCTCACATTTGTGTTATTGTGTTCTATGTCTTGTGAATACACAAATCCTGATTGTGTTTTTCACGTTATTCATGATTGTATGTTCTTTCATCATGTTGTGAGTGTACATTTTTTTTACACATTTTCGTGTGCAATTGTATCCAGGAGTTTCCGTTTGATGTTATTCAGCTTTGTGATTGCATCTGAATGAGTTTGCGTCTTTGGTGACAGATGAATAACTCACGTGAGCTGCTGATGAGAATCGACAGTCTGGCTACACTGCTATCTTGCTCCCACTTACTGCCTCATTGTCTTCACCTGCCAGAGTTGACAACGCACAAAGGCCAGCAACATTGCATGTACAAAAACTCTCTGGCTTATCTAGACCACCAACTCCAAAGACATTACAGCGATACACTCCGTAGCTCCTAAAGCGGTTGTCTGGCCTGACCACCTGAATTTGAAATTGTAGTCGTTGCTCCACATCTACATCAGCCGCCGTACAAGAGAAGACGGCGTGTGTGACCGTGTTGTCATTTAGACCACCGACTCAATCAATGACTTGAGAAAATGTGGCCCGTCCCAATGGACAGCACTGAAACAAACACATGACTATGGACCAGATTTGTCATCATTAGGACTCATCAGTCTCTGGGAGCCCCCCTATATGGAGAGGGCTGTAACCTTTACACGGTGGGCACCCGTTAGCACTTGCCTAATGGCACCAGTCATGAAAATCTGTAAACGATGAGAAAACCAGAGAATAGGTGCGCAATTTTCATACTCTTTGAGTTGGTGGTGTGAGACGACAAATGAGCACACATGCAGTTCTTTGGAGCTGGTGGTCTGGATAAGGCTGAGAGCTTTTTGTGCATGCAATGCACGTGCTTGTGTGCCGTTAGATCCATTTGTTTCTCAGCCGGCACTAATTGTTCCTCCGTTTGCCGCAGGTGTGGGGAGTGTTCAGATCCCTATCGTGTGTCTGGTGCTGGAGGGTGGCGTGGGAACCTTAGACGTAAGCACCTGTCACATCAGCACATTCACCACCACCACCTACCCCAATATCCTCAAAAGACCTCTCCCTCTCAACACTCCCCACTCACTGTTCCAGTGCTTTGTATGTATGCTGAACTTGGCAAAAAGGTCCCATTATCCGTTTATAGTATTTGGCTACTATAAATTTCTATATGATGATAAGCCACTTTATTGAGCTGTCATTTGTGGCCTGGTCGCTTCTGGTAAAATAAAATAGTGAGTAGTTAATAGTTAATACCCTGGGTGAATTTCCTCTCAATGGAAGGTCACTCCTCCTCCCTGCCTCTGATCCAGCACTCTGGAGGTGGGTGGTGGTGGATTTAGACAGAGGTGATTGTGCGATGCTCCAGCCTGTAGGCTGCGTGGTTGAAGTAAAGCAAGTAGGTCCCACACCTGTACGCATTGATTTTGAGAACGAGGCCCTTATTTGCATATGTTTTTTGGGAATCCTGTTTTTTCTCCACATCTAAGACATTCTGGAAGGAATTTGTCAAGAAATATCAGAATACATATATCTAATTGCTGCTATATTTGGTTGTGAGGATTTTTTTATAATTGGCATTTTTCGTGGCCTAACCGAGAAAATAATGAATTAATCATCCTATTATAGGATATTATGGAAATAGTTTTTTTAGATTTCTTGTTTGATTATTATTATTGTGAGCACATTGTTAAGGTGGCTGTTGGTGGCTTTCCTGTCTAGAGGTTTGCCCAATTTTTCCGTCATCCTTGAATCGACGGAAAAGAGAACCGTCCTTGGATAACTTGATGTCCCTGGATGAGGAACCGCCCATTGTGATAGGATTCGTGCCAGAGGAGACAAGGAGAGTTGTACAACAGTGTTGTGCTATTCATGGGCTGGTCCCAAAGGAGTTCGAAAGGCTGGCTGCCAGTGATTGCTTTGTGTAGAGTCACTATTGAAATTATGAAACTATTTTTTTTTATTTTACCAGGTAAGGCCCACTGAGCTATATAGCGCTTTTTCAGAAGCGACCTGGCCACCAAAACAAAGTGGCTTATCATCATCTGGACATTTATAGCAGCCAAAAACTTTAAATGTATGTTTCTAAATATGGAGGGAAAAACCAGAAGACCCAGAGAAAAATCCACGCGACCACAGGGAGAGAGACACGCAAACTACAAACATACAGACATCAGGGTCGGCATCGAACCCACGACCTCCTGTATATCAAGCGAGGTAGTAAACTTGCCACCGTAGCTTCCAAAGAGTGGAACGGTTTGGATGTTTTATTGACCAGTCTTGTATTCTCTGCAAATGACCATGGGCAAGGCAAGTCAAGTTTATTTTGTTTAACCGGGTGAGAGATAAAGAGACCACGGCAGTCTCGTTAGAACGAGTGACGTGGGTCACCACATTTATCTTATTTTATATTTATAGAGCATCTTAGCTCAAGGTGCTTTACAGAGCTTAAAAGCAGTAACAAACATGTAGACCGCAGGGGTGTGCAAGGAGAAGAGGTGACGCTTTCAGACCGGAGCGGAAGGAGCTTAAGGAGGGGGACTGCTTACATTTACAGGGGAAGTTTATAAAAGCAAATCACTACAGCAATGACAGATTATATAGAGGAAAAATAACATGAGAAATAAAAAATAATACGTAAACATAAATCAAAGTTTAATAATAAATAGAATGTAACTTAATGGTGTGGATCTAACGTGCATATTATCATCCGCCTATAGTTATCACTCGTTTAACGGGGTAGATGCGTTCCTGAAAGTGCTGCGTTTTTACGAAAAACCCGTTAAGCCAAACCAATTTCCCCATAAATGAAGGACCGATAAAGTTTGGCGAGATAAAGTTTGGCGTTACTGTATCATTCCACGTACTATATCACTATGCCGCTCAGAGGCGCAGCTCAACAAAGTAGTTCATCATCAATCGCTCAGAAACCGCGTTATAACGATGCACATTTCGCGTTATAACTGGGCACATTCCATGCTATAACGAATGGAAGAACCGCGTTATAGCAAGAACCTGGCGTATATCTAATTGTGTGACAGCCGGCTCGGCAGGATCGTGATGCGGAATTGTAACCGAAATCAATAGGCTTTTTTTTTCCGCGCAGACGATGTTCAATGCGATGAACAACAACACGCCGTGCGTGGTGGTGGAGGGCTCGGGGAGGGTGGCCGATGTCATCGCCAGCGTGGCCGCGCTGCCTCCCACCGGCATCACCCTCGCCGTCATCCGTGAGCAGCTGCACAACTTCCTGGGCAAGGAGGCAGAGTCCTTCTCGGAAGCTCGCATCGCAGAGTTGACCTCGAAGGTGGCCCCACTCTCCTTCCCACCCACCCACCCAACTGCTGCCTGACTATCGATGCACCGGTAGTCGTTACGTGCCGAGTCTGCATGCTGCAGGACGTTTTGTGCGCTGTGTGGCGCAAAGGAAGGTGCTTTTGTAACGCAGTCTCCGTTAGATTATGCTAATTAGGTTTGAATGATAGGCGGCACATTCTTTCTGTTGACATTCCAGGTTATTGCATTTGCCGGGAAGATGCGTGAAGACTCGGTGTGTGTGTGCGCACCGTGTGTTTAGATTCAAGACATTGTGAACATGAGTCATCTGCTCACTGTCTTTGATGACAAGGAGGGTGGACCGGGCATCGATGTGGCAATCCTCAAGGCTCTGCTCAAGGGTGAGTGCGATGCCCCACCCACAATGCACAAGCCTCGTCCTTTCCTACCCCTCAACCACACCCCCCCATATCGTCTTCTTCCATTCGGATGATGTTGATGCAGAGCAACAACTACAAGTTCACATTCAAGCCAGACAACCGCATCAGGAGTAGAGGAGTGTATCGCTGCGATGTCTCCTTCGTATTTGTGGATCCGGCATTGCGTCGTTATATGTTGTACGGAAGATGGCAGGCTTCACACGGTGAGAAATCATGATGAATGCCATCAACGCGGTGACCGAACATCGATCGTCGATCTCTCCCGGTCTCCGGAGGAACAACAACAGCCTCCGTAACTACCTCATCGCAACCACCGCCTTCTCGCTTCTTTACCCAGCAGCAGCCTCCAGACTTTTTTTGTCAGGATGGTCCTGCCAAGGTTTTCACCATAAAGGGCGATGCAACGGATATGTGGGGTTAAGGTGACACGCTGCTGATGCCGTGCCACTCATCAGCTGTGCTATGAAGAAGGGCCGCTGTCCGAAACGTTACCAATTGTGTACAAGCAGATCTCGCTTAGCGCTCGCAATGCATTCCTGGAGAAGTGAGCGCAAATCGAATCAGCATTGAAAGCGGTTGTTACATCATTGTATACATGGAGATGAATTACAGTGTTATTTATTTGTGTTAGCAATGAGGGCTTCATTGGGGTATTGGCAATAACACTGATAATGATACAGGTGGTAATTTTTATTATTATAAATAAAATAATCAGTAAGTATTATGCACTGCACTCATGAGTGCATTCTACTGTACTCCTACAAGGTAGCGTCTTAGTGATGCCCTCAGTCTAAATGTCTGTAGAGAGGTTTATTTTAGGTGGAGCCTTGAGACTATCCTGGTCTCGTGAGTTCTCACCTGGCTATTAACATTGGAAAAAATATATAGATTTCAAAAAATGTAAGCAAGACTACGAATCGTGATAATCGAATTGTGGGAGGTGGCATCTGGTTTGCGGAGAGCGTTCGTCGGTCTCATTGGCTGAGCGAATGATGGGGGCGGGTGCGTTTCCTCGGCCAGTGCTGCTGCATGATTTCACTCACTTTATTGATGTTTTCATTTGATTAATTTTTTGGGACAAATTATATCGAGGCCAAACAGCTCTATAATGAATCGGCTTTCAACGGGATCACGCTAAGCGAGGTCTAACTGTATATATATATGTATTTTCCCATTTTTCAAGCCACGGTGTTGTTGACGAATGTGTTGTTGAGCTTTACTGACTGGTATGTACGCTTGCGCCATGGTCGTGGTTTGCATCTCAGCCAGCAGAGGTGAAGCCAACAAAGCCCAGGAGAGCTGTGACCACCAACTGCGACTGGCTTTGGCCTGGAACCGTGTGGACATTGCAACCAGCGAGATTTTTACCGACGACCGCAAATGGCAGGTACGCGAAATATGACTGCCTCGGGACATCGACTTGCACCGGGATACTTCACAACGACCGAGCACACTACCACGGGGCCACGACGGTCATGCTGCATCAGTTGGCGGATCCAAATACTGGCGGAAAAACATCGCTAACTCCCTCACACTGCAATGTGGCTACGTGCAGGACATTGTGTGGTGGAGGGATTTTCGCACACTACCCCGATGACCCCTAGTGGCCCGAGTTTGACTCCTGGCCTAGGATAATGTCAGCGGCGAGTGGAAATTTGGTGGCAGGGTGGTGGCGAGGTGGTGACACTCGCGCCTCGCGACGAAAAGGCCCTGGGTTCCATTCCCAACTCTGGTGCTGTTCTGTGTGCAGTTTGTATGGTATCACCTTATTCTGGATGGGTTTTCTCCAGTTTCCTCCCATAGCTTAAATATCACACAATGTCACTGGTATCAGCTATTACCTGCAAATTACTCAAGTGGGACTACGCATAGCAATGCTGTGAAAAACTTGACAAAAAAAAAAGACTGTTGAGACTCAAGTGAGACTTTGTGTGCGTAAACAAGTGCAATACTACTAATAATAAAACATAACCTGGGCCAGTGCTGGGACCCCACACTTCAACCCACACAGGCCAGCGTGCTGATCTTTGATTAGCATGGTTTTTCTATGCACGGTGCGAAAGAAGTTCAATATACGTACGTACATACAAAGTATGGTCAAACAAGCCACGCAATCGAAGAAGCCGCGAAGTTCCCCGTTGTGTTTTGTGTCACGCCACGTCTCCCCGTGCCAGACGGGCGACCTGGAGCAGGTCATGGATGCTGCCCTGCTGGAGAACCGGCCCGAGTTTGTGTCCCTCTTTGTGGAGCATGGCCTGATCCTGAGGGAATACCTCACCTGGGCCCGCCTCGAGTCCCTCTACAACGGGGCACCCGCCTCCTCCCTGCTGCACATTCTGCTGAGGCGCATTTCTGAGGGCGAGAAATCCCCCGCGGATCCACACAGGAGATGGATCTCCACGCTGCCCATGGCGCCAAAGCGAACGAACCACTTTAGTTTGTACCACATCTCCTTGCTGATCCGCGAGCTGCTCGGCGACAGCACCTCCATGTTGTACGGGAACAAGATGTCCAGATTCTCCAAACTGTCGCCCAACAGCAAGAACACCAGCTCCACCAAGGTCAGAATCATAATCAGAACTTTGTATTTCGACTGGAGGAATCCGATGAGCTGTCAAGCGCTTTGTCACAGATGTACATTAAAAGGTGTCCATATGTGGCTTGTGATGTGTGTGTTGTAAACTGGTGTCGGCCAAAACATCCAACTGGATGAACATTTCCCTGCAAATTACTCCAATGGGAATTCGTCAATTACATACAGCAACATCGTCCCCATCTGCGAAAAACTTGGCAGGACCCTCCTGAAAAAAGTCTTGAGACTCAGTGAGGCGTGCCTGAGTAAACGAGCGCAGTAATAATTAATCATACTCGAATGTAGCACAGATGATTAACCCCACAGGGTATGGGGTAACAGCAGCGTCTGATGTGAATGCGTGTGTTTGGCAGGGTGGGACGTCATCGGAGTTCAAAGGACAAACATACAATGAAGGGCAGCTGTACTGCCCTGACCCTGAGCGTGACCTCTTCATCTGGGCAGTGCTGCTGAATCGCAGGGAGCTCGCCAACTTCTTTTGGAGTCAGGTGAGAGCCAAATGTGTATCGTCCGTGTATCGGTTAGGAGCCGTCCATAAATGACGTCACGCACCTAGGGGGGGAGGGGGGTCAGACATTTGTGACGATGTGTGACGACGGGAGGAGGTGGGGGTTTGAGAAATGTGACGTCACATCAAAATGCGCAACTTTAAATAAATATAAACAACACGTTCTACTTAATTGAATATAATTGTTATAACAACACTCATTTTGATTAAGTTTCATTATTAACTATTTGATTATTTAAATTTACTAAGGTCACCTTTTATTTATTCCATGAAGGAGCATTTTGCTTCTCCATGGCAGAATGGAGAAGCATACATTTTGTAATTTTTTTTGAATTATTGTTATTAAACATTTTAATTTTAATTATTCTACCAGGTCTTTTCATTCTGTGGAATGAATATGTGATTGTTATAATTGTACTCTCCATTTTGCTTCGTTCTACTACAAAGTTTCAAGTATTTTTTATAGTTATAATTACTTTTAATATTTAATAATTCTCAGAGAATTTCAATATCATATTATGAACATCTGTAGTTTTAGTTAGACGATTCATATTTTCAAGTTCATTTTATGCTAAATTTCGGCTTTCAAACGCCTTCTTTTTAATACATGTTTTCTCCTACAACATCAGAGTGCAGCGCCACGTAAAATACGCACTACAATAATGGTTTAAAGTGATTTGAAGCATGTTTTATTTTCAAAATGGAAATATGGTTTTGGGGGGTGGGGGGGCAGAGCTTTGTGGCATCATATTTGAGGGGGGTCTGACTTTTTGTGATGCCGTGTGACAAAGGGGGGGAGGGGGGGGGGTCAAAAATTGCGTGACGTCATTTATGGAGGGCCCTTTAGCCAACAACAATTTTACAGATAATGGCATGCATTGAATCAGAATATTCATTTATATTGGAGGAATCCGATGCGCTATTAATCTAATTTTCACAGATGTCCAGTCGGGGCAGGTAAGAACCTTACAACAACAAACAATACAAAACACGATAGGAGTGCAAAGTACAAGAAAGGTAAACAAATCACCCAAACACATACAAATACAACTAAACCATCCCCATCCTACCAGACAAAGCGCACTAAGGTTGTAACTTATTGTTCAAAAGCGACCTGGCCACAAATGATAGCTCAACAAAGTGGCTTGCCTTTTGGATATTTATAGCAGCAAAATCATCTAAATAGTCTAAATGCATGTTTCTAAATGTGGAGGGAAAAACCAGAGTACCTGGAGAAAAAAATCCACGTGACCATGGAGAGAACATGCAAACTCTAAATATACAGATGTCAGGGTCAGCATCGAACCCCCAATGTCCTGCAAACCAGACGAGAAAGATAAAATATCACCACCGTGGCACCCCTAAAATAAAAGTGTGCCTTCTTGAACAGAAATTATGTAAGCTCAATTGCAACATTTCCATCACAGATAAATGATATGTCATTCCTTGGCATTGTGTGTGAGAAAGTTTTGATCAATTAACATCATAAAAAATGTACAATGCACGCGATGAGCAATTATGAAGTGGGGAACAGCAGGAATACGATAATTGCCATAACAACACGTCATTGTAAAAATAATAATATACTTAATTATCCAAGAGAGCTTGTTTTTTTTTAAAAGATGTTTTCAGCCAATTATTGATCAGTTGTGTTTATTATACAAGTGGGAGGAAATTGGAGCACCCGGAGAAAACCCACGGTCACAAGGGATACAACGATCGATCCCCGTACAAATGGTGATTAGTCTACTTTCTGTATTATCTTCTGGCAAGTCAGGGCATGACATTTCGATCAGCACGGGAAGGGAGTTTAACAACAATTGTCTGGTGATCCACCAACCCTTGCCGCTGCCTCCACAGTGCTGGATTACAAGCGTGCATAGCCAGCACTGCCATCTGGCTTTTGTGTCTGTGCAGCACAGTTACTTGCAACACAGTGAGTGGAGCTGGTGTGAAAAACCTGAAGGTGGTGATTCTATAGGCATTAGAGAATATGCTCCACAAAAAAAATGGTTTAACAACACACACAGGTCTGCAGCATGGTGTGTCCATAAGCCATCAGCCTTGTCTACACCAACAGATGGATAGATCTGTCTGTTTCGATTTTGTCATTTAGACCACCATCTCAGAAAGCTGCGGAAGTGTGGCCATCCCAGTGAGCAGCGGTGAAACAAAGACGCAACTGTAGCCCGGTTTCATCCTTATTTAAACTCATCAGTACTGTACAGACATGCATTTTCGCTGCTGCCATATATGGATAAGGCTGCGAACTTTGAACAGGCAGCGCTGCACACATCTGTGTGTTGTTAAATCTGTTTGTAGCTGCATTATGTTTTTCTACCATAATGGATTGGCTCATCATTTACATATAAAAAAAATATTACAACTAAAGTTACCTTTTGCACATGAGTGATAGACCAATGCGTGATTACTGAAGCCTTTATTGTACCTAAAGTAAATCAATTAATCACTCGCATGACATTTAGAAGCAGAGAAATGTTGACGGCGGGTAAAATGACAAAATGGCCGCACATGCAGTTATTTTGAGTTGGTGGTCGAGATTATGGTGCCCTGACAAGCAGTGGTGTTATTTCCGGCAGGGCAAGGACTGCATGGCTGCGGCATTGATGGCGAGCAAGCTGCTGAAGGCCATGGTGCAGGAGGAGGACGACTCGGACCGGACAAGCGACATGCTGGCTCAGGCTGACAACTACGAGCAGCTCGCCATTGGTGCGCCGGATCTCACACCGTTTTATCATTGAGACCACCAACTCAAAGTGTTGAGAAAACGTGGCCGCCCCGTTAGATATATCGTATGCATGTATTTTGAACTTCTTTCACACAGTACGTAGCCAACCGTGCTCATGGGAGGTACGGGGAAGGAAACACAAAATCAGTTTTGGGTGAAAAATAATTTGATAGCTCATCCGATTTCTCCATGATAAATAAAGATAAATAAAGATTATAAGATCTGACTTTTTTATTCTCTGGTGGTGCCTTTTGTAAAGCACACGGGCAACTCGGTTGTCTTGCAGAGCACAGGGAACATGTGCGTGGTACAATACCGCGCGTCTCTCTCTTAATCAAGTGCACGAATCTTGCGCTATAGCCACAGCCATTGCATCCGTGTCCCAGTGCACTCCCGCTGGCTAAGATCATCCCACAATCAGACGCTGCTTTGAAAATTAAACCAAACGGCGTTGACTCGCGTGCCATGTGCTCGACACGCATGTGTGGCGTTTGTGATGGCGGCTGCGGCGGCCGAGCAGGATTGTTGGACGAGTGCTACAAGGACGATGAGCTGCGGGCACAGAAGCTGCTGATTCGCCAGCTCCACTCGTGGGGCGGCGCGACGTGCCTCAGCATGGCCTACCACGCCAACAACAAGAGCTTCTTCTCCCACAGTGGAGTGCAGGTACCCAGCACCACGCACTGAGCAATCGTCACGGGACAAGGGAGTCGGCCGCCGTGCACTCCAATAATTTCCTTCTCTGGAGGGCTCCGATAGCTATGACCGGCCGCATCCAAAATCAATTATGCAACATGCGTTTTCAGGCATGGCTCCAGCTCCTCTCGATTTGGGGGGCGGGAGTTAAGCTGCTGTGTGGTGGGCCACCATAACAACAGTGGCCTACTGCTAAAGAGAGTGAACTTAACGGGGCCATTTAAAACTTTTTTATTTTACCAGGTAAGGCCCACTGAGCTATACAGCTCTTTTTCAGAAGCAACCTGTCCACAAATGATAGCTCAACGAAGTGGTTTATCATGTGGAAACTTATAGCAGCCAAATACTCTTAACAAACATTTTTGAATGTGGAGAGAAAAATCGGAGAACCTAGAGAAAAATCCACATGACCACGGAGAGAACATGCAAATTCCAAATATACAGGCGTCAGGTTCGGGATCAAACCCACGTACTCCTGTATACCAGGCGAGGTAGTTAACGCCTCACCACTGTCGCGCCCATTCACATTCATTTTAAATAATCAACGGTTGATTAAAATCGAAAACATGCACCATATGCACGCATTTAAAATTCATGCTTTGTATTATCAGATTTACATTTTTCAAAAGCACTCCAACGTGCTCTGGCTCACCTCCGATTGCGATACCACTGTGATGGAATGGGGGCCACAGACTCTCCGATCACCCTCCACGTCTAAAACACGCATTTACTTTGTGGCAAACACGCGTGCGTGTGGACGTGCGTGGACGTGTGCATGAGTGTGGTGGGAGTGCACTGATTGTATCTCTTTCTCAGGCCCTGCTTACCCAGATCTGGTGGGGTGGCATGTCTGTGGACCTGAAGACCTGGAGAGTCATTCTGTGCATTATCTTCCCATTGCTCATCTACACTCGTATCATCACATTCAGGTGGGTACTTTAGCCAGTGCAACAACAACCACCATTCGCCACTAAATGGCGGTGACGTCACCACGAGCCTCCTCCACAGAGGCCGATCTTGACACCGCTGGTACCGGTCATCGGCAAGTCAACTCAGCTCCACATCCTCCTCCATCACTCCATCTCTTCTCTAGCCTGTGCTGTGCCCGTTTAGCCCCCTCTCTCCGGCCGAACAAAAGCTGTTTAGGAATGCGGTGGCTGGGCATGCAGGCTACATGACCCAGTCAATGCAGCCTTGCCTGCCGGAGGAGCTCAATGATGGGACTTTTCAAGGATTTGTGAGCTCCTCACACAATCCAGTCTGGTTAAACCCAGGATGGATCGTAGGCAGGCCAGCCTAAATGTTTCTAACCAGCGAAGATGTTCCAATAGCGGGGTCCACGTTTTGCAAGCATAGAGAAGGGAGGGAATGACTGTGGCCAAGAAGACCTGAAGCTTCGTGTGGAGCGACAGACCAGGTAGCTTTCACACAGCATTACGCAACCGATGAAAACATAATGTCGCTCGACTGATTCGGAGTGAGACCTCTGCTGTTAAACCGGAGCCGGTCATGAGCACACTGCCCAGATATGGAAAACTCTCCACTCTCTCTACAACTGCACTATCACCAATTGGGAGTTGTGGGAGTGGAGTGTCCCATGGTACAAAATACCCAAGCAGGTACTTTAGCCAGTGCAACAACAACTGCCAGTGCCCACACATGTACACCTACAGTGGCAGCAGGGTGGTGCAGTGGTAACACGTGTTTCACAGTAAGAAATGCCTGTGTTGGATTTACAACTGGCGTCTTCTGTGTTCTCCCCCTGTTCTGCATGGGTTTCTTCAGGGTTCTCCAGTTTTCTCCCAGAACTGAAAAAAACGCTCAATACAGGCGGTCTCAGGTTTACAACTATCCACATTTACGACGTTTATTTAATGTCACCATGGATCAATCTACGACGCAGAAACTTGATTCAAGCTGCATCTTCCAACACGACTCCAAACACATTCGAACAGAGTCAGTCTGGTTTTTGACGTTGGAGTGGAGCTTTTTTTTATTCTGAAGTGTTTTCGTGGATTTGTATCTACTAAACCCTTGAATATATATGTAGTGAGTCCAACTGAGTCGCAGACGTTGTTCCTTCTAGAGGCAACACATTTATTGTAACACCGTAACACAAAGGGGTAACTGCCCCTTTACCAGATACAGCTTAGGGTGGGGACCATCCAGCTAACTACACTATACAGAGGGGTTACTGCTACGAAGGGTCGGGCTCTCACTCGGGTCTCCGACCATGTGGTTGCCTCGTAGGATGAAGAGCTTTAGCTTGAGACATAGAGCTTTCCGCTTCTAGATGTTGAGCTTCCAGCTTGTAGAATGCAGCGACCCCGGTCCCTCTCAGGGACCCGCCTTATATCCCCCTACAGTCGGGGCCGCTCCGCCCTCGGTTCCGCCCGCCTTCCGGAGCCTTCTCGTTCCCTCTCGATCCTTCTCAAGAGCTCTCCCTGGACACGTGATCACCCACTAGCCCCCCCACCTGGGGCCCCTTGTGTGAACACTCGGGATCACGTGTCTACGGGGTCAACCAGAGTGCCATGGCCCGGGGCAACCCTACCCCTGGGCTGACACTCACGCACTCCCCCTCGTGGGAGCCCCCACCACATGCTGTGTATGGTGCCCGCACTATACCAGTGCTCACCAAGCCCTGCTAGGGCTGGTATTACACACAGCCACCCACACGGTGCTGTCCATGATGTAGGAACATCGAACAGCACGGCCCTACCGGGCCGGCACCATACAGTGACATCCCTGATGTCACTACATATATGTTAAAATAGGGTCCAATTTACGACATTCCAATTTACAACGGGTTTCCAGGAACGTATTGTAACGTCGTAAAAGTGGGGACTGCCTGTACAACATAACTGGTATTGATTTTAAGCTTTCATGACTGCAGGAATTCATACTCTTTGGTTCTTTCGGACTTCATCATGTAGGTAACCTATGTGACTTTATTACGTAGGTAAAGTCACGTAGGTGACTTTACCTACGTGACTTTACCGAAAGAACCAAAGAGTATAACTGGTATTGGCCAAACATCCCAATTCTGAAAAATTGCTTGCAAATTATTCAATTGGGATGACACACAGCAGCAACATTACCCACTATTGCTAAAATTTAGCAGGACCCTCCTGAAAAAAAAGTCTTAAGACTCAGTGATACTTTCCTGGATGAAAAAAGTTTACTAATGAATAAGTTTAGTGACATCTTTTTGAAACTTTTGTACAGGCATTTTTTGGTTCTCTAAATATATAGAATTTTATTTAATTTGTGAAAAATTCTGGTTCTGTGAAACAAGGAAACGACTTGGTTACCATGCAATATCTCCATGGCAACGCACATGCGAGGATGCAGTACCCAAATGATCGATTGAAGGATCCTCAGAAGTAGTTCTACGACATCACCTTCTGCAGACCTCTCTCAGTTACAGTTAAGATGTGATGCACTGCTCTCCCAGAGCTAGGAACGCACGCACATGGCCTCGTGCCGATAGCACAATTGGAAAACTATTTGCTAAACAAGAGGGTTTGGGATAAATAACAGCAATAAATTAATACAGCAGCAGTATTACAGTACTTTATACTGTCTAGTGTAGACTGTACACCTGTCTTAGGCAATGCGGTTATTGATATCATCAGTTCTTCCCTGGACCTCCATGCCAGGCCACTGCCAGAGTCAACACGGTCATCCCCTCCCTCACGTGGAATTCACTGATGATGTAATTCTGCTGACTGCTGTCGTTGCTTACATTGAAATACATCGCTCATATATTGCGGTTTTTCTACAGAGATCTTGGCCCCTGCCATAGCAAAATTGATTGAGGGCTGCCAGTGGAGGCTCGCCATGTCACGCTTGTCCAAATATGGTGCAACACTTGGACATTTGAACTTAAGATTTATTCCATACAGAAATTAAACTTTAATTAAGCAAATCTCAACTAATGTCATGTACAGTACTGTGTAATGGACCAAAGGTTTTCTCTTGAGGGAAAACTCTTAAAGTTCATTAAAGTCTGCCATGTGAACATGTTCAGTGAACTACTTGTTATTTAACCATAAGAATATGCTTTCGTGAAGCATGAATGAAAAGTGATTATCAGACAGATGTCGTGAGAGAATGAGTGTGTGCACTTCCCATGGCCGTATCTCCCTTGTGCTGTGCAGTGAGGAGCAAGAGATGCAGAAAATTCGGATTTCCCAAGTGAGCTCCGCGTGGAACAGAGCACAGCCGATCTCGGACGAGGAAACTGGGAAACACAACCTGTAAGTCCATCGGAAATGATTATGCTCTGTTGTACAATAACCATTTATAACGTAGGCTTGTAAATCGGATCGTATTAGCTCACTCCCGAAGAGAGATAACGACCTGGAGGCATGAGGAACCACGGACGAGTGGGACGGCAGCAGCCAAACTACCAACAATTACCCAAGCTCTGCAGTCCTCTGTATATGAAGATGTTTTCAGCCAATTTAATGAGCGTTTAAACACAAGAGAGGAAACCGGAGCACCCAGAGAAAACCCACGCATACGCAGAGGGCAAAACTCCATCCCCTACACAAATAGAAACCGATGGAAATTAATCCACTTGCTGCCCTGCCATCTCCTGGCAAGCCAGGGTATGGCGACCGTTATGGTCCACGGGCAGGATGTTTCACGAAATGTGTGCAATCCACCAACCCTGGCCTCCAGTGCACCTCCGATGAGCATGGTTGGATATGTACAGAGCGAAAGAAGTTCAACCTACATACATACAGTGCTGGATTACAGGCCACGTGAACAGCCGCCACCGCCCGGCACGTCATGACTCCCACACATCCCACCCCCACCTCACAGTGATTACAATCTTTTTATATTTTTATGAATTGGGAAGAAAAATAGATTCAAGAATCTAATGTTTTTCCTCACGGATTTACTTTCTCAATTGTGTTTAATGTCTTCTGTCTCAGGTGTACAGCTTGTGGGTATTATTACCGTAAATACTCTTTGGTTCTTTCGGTCACGTAGGTAGAATTTATAAAAAATAATTTATCACGACGTTTCGATCGCAATACAAGCGGCAGTCTTCAGGCGGAAAAAAACAATCCAACAGTGGAACTGCTGAACCAGTGAGAGAGCTGTTAAAACAAGGTCATATATGTGGCGATGGGAAAGCAACGGGGTCTGAGCTGGAAAGGAATTCCATCCCCGGACGCAAGCACGTCAGTTTTGTTAATGGGACACTGCTGTTGAGATGATACTCTTATGCGGCGATGGAAGCTCATTTCATGCTAATCTCTCTCCCTAATTTCTCTCATTAACACAACTGGCGTGCTTGCGTTCGGGGATGGAATTCCATTCCAGCTGAGACCCCGCTTGCTTTCCCATCACCACATATATAACCTTGTTGTAACAGCTATCTCGCTGGTTCAGCAGTTCCACTGCTGGATACATTTTTTCTGCCTGAGGACGACCGCTTGTGTTGCGATCGAAAGGTCGTGATATATTATTCTTTTTCTACCTACGTCACTTTACCGAAAGAACCAAAGAGTATAGATTCCTGCAGTCACGAAAGCTTCAAATCAAGATTACCGTAACTGTATATAAGCAAATTATGTGTAGATCATTTTCATAACTTGCATCCATTTACTCTCACACACAATGTTGTGCATTTAGTGGGAGCGTAGGAAAACGATAATAATGGACGACCCGGAGCATTGCTACTACATGCCAACCTTGTTGTGTCACCAAACCCTTAACAATGGCATCAGTATAGCATGTACTATTGTTAAAATAATAAGATTACGAGTTATATTTTAAGAGTTAAAATTGGTATAAAATCGCATTGCTTACTGCAGTACACTATATCGCACGGTGTACGATATCAATTATAGCACCTGTAATCGGCACCTAGCCGTGGGAAACGGTCACTGTAAAGGTCACCGGTCCGTCTGTCTGTCCGTCTGTCTGTCCGTCTGTCTGTCCGTCTGTCTGTGTGTCTGTATGAGAGGAGCGGTTGTGTAGCGTTTAGTACACTGCGCTACAAACCCAGCCACCCGAGTTCGATTCCCGCTCATGGCCAACACCAGTGACGATTATCTGAACTGGTCCTGGGCCTCCCCTAGGTCGACTAAGCCTCAAATGAGTACCTGGTGCCATATGTAAACATCGCCACTGGGGAGACAAAGGCGGCCAGGCATGGTGTTGGCCACCCATCCCCTCGTGTGCCATGCCGGCCTTCATAAATGCTACTAGCTAACAGCACTTGCTCAAATAGTCTCTTCAGGCTCTATGGGGGATCTTTGTCTTTGTGTGTGTCGATGTTTCTTTGTTGAACAGGTCATTGCCCACAGCATCCATAAAGAATGTGGCGAGCAAGCGCTCTCTGACTATCACGGTGTTCCAGCGTTGGCGGAACTTTTGGACGGCGCCCATCACAGTCTTCTGGGCCAACGTGGTGTCTTACTTCATCTTCCTATGGCTCTTCGCCTACGTGATCATCATGGACTTCCAGTATACGCCCGATTGGCCCGAGTACCTCCTCTACGCTTGGGTCCTGTCGCTCATCCTGGAGGAGCTGCGTCAGGTGACGATTACGCGCGGCGCTTGTACCCCTTAGGTTGGCGTGCATCCCACCTTGGTTTACGTCAGCATAATTTCTGTAGCATAAGTATATCCCACACTATGTCGTGATCTGTTATTGTTTGTGAGTTGTTGGGGGACCTTTGGTCTCAGGGTGGGCTCTTTTTGGTTCTAAATAAAGGTCACCTATCTATTATAAAAGCCATTTTCCATGTGTCCATTTGTCCGTCAACTAAACTATAAGAGCCTTTCAGAAGGCTTGAATCTAAAATAATCCAACAGGTTTACAAAAATTGTCAACTGCCGCCCCCCAAAAAAATAATTCACTCCCCCAACCCCAAATGTTTTTTTTATTTTGTAGGCATACATGCCGCCGACACACCAAACATACAATAGTCAGTAGTATCTGCACACATTTGGGGGGTGCGTAAGAGAAGAGGACATCAGTGGGGGCGACAGGCGAGGAGCGAACCTCTGAGTAGTCCTCCGTAGGAGTCAGAATAAGATGGGCGTAGGCCGCCGAAATTTTAGTTTTTAATAAATCTACATTTATCGTCATATAAATTGCAGTTTCACCCTCTAAATAGTCGGTGATACTGTAAATCTAAACTGTAAATCTAAACGTGAGAATTTTTATTGTTTTATATTTATATTATTTTATTATTTCCCTTCTACGTGACTTTACCAAAAAAACCAAGAATATGAATCCCTGCAGTCACGAAAGCTTCAAATCTTTAAATCGAAATGTACATTACAGCTTCATTTACACAAGGGATGTCAGGGTGGTGGCACAGTGGTAACACTTGTGCCTCACAACAAGAAGTTCCTGGGTTCGATTCCAGACTCAGGCGCCTTTCTGTGAAGAGTTTGTATCTGCTCTCTCCCCCTGTTCTGCATGGGTTTTCTCCAGGATCTTCGGTTTCCATCCTATAGCTCAAAAAACCGTAAAAAATACCAAAACATCCCAAAGTTGAACAATTACCTGATTGGGATTACACACAGAAACATCTCCCCTACTGCAAAAACTTGGCAGGACCCTCCTGAAATATAGTCTTGACACTCGGTTCGACCTTGCTGGATAAAGAAGCATGATACAAAATATAACATAAGATGGCTGTATTAGATGTGTATCCTATCATTCACATTAATGTTGCCCACCCTGACGTACTGGGGCAGCCATACACTGCATTGCCATGACGTTCCACAGCTGTCCACAGCTTTCCACAGCTGTCGTGTGACGTTGCTCTTGCTCTGCAGGTTTTCACTGACCCAGAGAAAGCAGGGCAATGGAAGGCTGCAGTCCGCTACATCAAAGACATCTGGAACCGTATCGACATGCTGGCCTTACTTCTCTTTACAATCGGAGTCATATGCAGGTGGGACGAACCAACAACGTGTGCGGCTTACTCTGTACAATTAAACTTACGATGCGGACACATTTATGCTCTTATTGTGCAGGGAAGAGCGACCTAAGTCGATTGCGGGGCCGATTACAATTTTTTAAGGTCACCAAAAATGTGTGCACCAGGGGAGTTTTTATCTTCCCGTGCATATATGGTGTTTTAAACCTCTCATTGGCCACCGCTTATCTGAAACGTTCGTGATAACGTGATATGTTTCTTGGTTTGCTCTTTATCTGTCAAACAGTATTTTATCACTTGAGTTTGTTTTGAATGGCACATAACAGAAATACTTTTTTATCCATGAGACCCTTTTTGCCGGTATGAAAATGATGAAAAATAATAGGCTTTACCCTTTCCGGAAAAAATTGCAGCTGTTCGCCTTTTGGCGTTGTTCTCCAGTCTAACACTGGTGAGAAAAGGCCATAAAGGAGCCTGTCCCTGGTGTAGGCCAATCAGTTTCAAAGACAATGCATACATTATTATTAAAGCACTTTTTTGGCATGTTTTATCACAAGCATGATGTGTGGTTAATGCAGGCATGATGCCTTGCAATAGGTGTGTTTATTTAGTAGTTGAACATCTTAACATCTCCCATATTATTGTCGGAAAGGGTAAAGCCTATTCTTTTTTCATCAAAGAGATTTTAGCACGCAAGTTTTCAGAGCCAATGTTTGATTCGTAATTAATTTTTGGGGTTAGGCCGTGTAATGATCCGGTCAAATCTGTGTCGTTTAACGATGCACCAATTACGATGGTTTCATGTCTTGCCTTATACACAGGCAGCTAGGAGTTTCTTGTGTAGAACATTCTCACTGCACATAATCACTCATGCCCAAGATAATCGATTCAAAAACCCGATACCTCCAAAGAATGACTCCAAATAATTCCCGTCACAGCAACCATTGGCAGAATGGTTTTTATACCTTGCAACCATCTCTCTTAGTGCCGAGTTTTAAACCGTTTATTTTGAGTTTCCAGCACATAAATGATCAGGGAAATTGATAATTAATCAAATTGTACTCAATGAGCTCGACCTGTATACCTTAGCCATGGCACATGTATTGGTGTTACAGGCTCATCCCGAACAGCATAAACGAATCGACATTCCAGGCTGGCCGCTCCGTGCTCTGTGTGGATTACATGGTCTTCTGTCTCCGCTTGATGCACATCTTCACCGTCAACAAAACCCTAGGGCCGAAGATCATCATTGTCAAACGCATGGTGGGTGCAGTACTAGGCCGGTTAAACTAAACTAAAACAAAACATTTTATTTTATTTTACCAGGTCAGGCCCACTGAGCTATGTAGCTCTTTTTCAGAAGCGACCTGACAACAAACGATAGCTCAACAAAGGGGCTCATCATGTGGATATTTATTGCAGCCAAATAATCTAAACACCTGGAGAAAAATCCACCAGACCACAGGGAGAACATGCAAACTCCAAATATACAGGTCTCTAACGATCGAACCTATGTACTCCTGTATACGAGGTGAGGTAGTTAATATATTGCCACCGTGGTGCCCATTCATGTTACTCATGAACGGAATGGTTGATCAAAATCAAATAAATGCGCCATATGTGCGCATGCACAATTTATACTTTTCGTTATCAGATTAAATTTTCCAAAAGCACTCCATCGTGCTCTCGCTCACCTCTTCATTTGTATAATTTTGATCTCAGCTTGTTTTCAACAGTAGATATAATTATCGGTTGAGATTTCCTGACGTATCGCTCCAACAGTTGTTTTTCATTTGTGTAGATAACTCATTGCACATGGCGTTTGTTTTTGTTCATATTTATCTTTATCCCCACTCTGCTACCTTTTTGTTTAGTTATTACATAATTTCCTGCAGACAGCGCAGCGGGGTAGTTGGTGCAGTGGTGACACTTGTGCCTCCACAGCAAGAAGAACCTGGGTTCTATTCCTGACACGGTTGTCATTCCTATGTGCAGTTTGTATGTTCTCTCCCTTTTCGCCATGGGTTTCCTTCGGGTTTGCCAGTATCCTCCCATTGCTAAAAACGCCACTGACAATGTAACTGGTGTTGGCTAAAACACCCCAATGCTGAAAAAATACTTGATTGAGATTAGGCAATAACAACATCGCACCCTATGTGAAAAAATTGGTAGGACCCTCCTGAAAAAGAGTAAATCAGTGAGGCTGGGTAAACAAGGGTTGTAGTAGTACAAGGATGGAACGTTTCAAAAAGAACATGGAAAAGCCTCGAATTATTTGCATCTGGGTGTTTTTTGTTTCGTATTAAACATCCCACCTTAGGTAAAGGATATCTTCTTCTTCCTGTTCCTGCTGGGCGTGTGGGTGGTGGCCTACGGAGTGGCCACTCAGGGGATTCTCATCCTCAACGAGCAGCGGCTGGATTGGATCTTTCGTGGAGTCGTCTATCAGCCCTACTTGCTCATCTTCGGACAGTTCCCCACCAGGGTTGACAGTACGTGCAGCATCCACGTTGTATGTTGTATAACTTCTTTCACACTGCACGTACCCAACCGCGGTAATCGGTTGGTGCAAGTGCAGGACAACAAACTAAACACAAGAAGCAGTTCCAGAGAAAAAACATTTAAGTCTAAATTATTTAAATGTGCATTGCTACAAGTGGCTTCCTGGATATGATGCCTTCTCCTCTGGCCCAGTTTGGACGAGGGCTACTGCAAAGGAGTCCAGAGAAGATGTGGAGATTTAGGCCAATCTTTGGAATGGGAATGGAGCAGCCCAGCCAATGACCAGAGGTCCGTCCATCCCTCTTGAGAGATTCTACAGATTTGTACAATTTGTATAACACACTGTTCAAGTAGCAAGAAAGTGCTTGTGGGAATCCCTGAGGCGTAAGCCCCTTTAGGATCTAGTAATGCGGAGGGATCTACAGCCAATACGAGTCATACGATTCTTCATAAATGATGATACTAAAGGATGTAACAAGGCCTGGAGACGTGTCAGAAGAATTCGAATAGACACAGGGCTCTGGGCAGTGTCATTTGTTTTACTACATTTGAACGACCAATGAGATGCAGCTCCAGAGAGTTCCACTGATATGGAGAGTTAATTATTCCGATTTAGACTCTTTGAGACTAGAAATACAAACCCCAATGTGTTTCATGGATGTCTAGTTCCATCAGATTGGGCACCAGCCTTGGTCTAATTTATGCAGAGGGATTACCACCGAACTAATGACTCACGAGCATTGAGCTTGTACTCTAAGGCCTGGCCAAAGTCACTGATGACCTCCAACAAACTCGGTATAGACCGGTCTGGCTCCATGAGCATTAACAGTGTATGATCAACGTCGAGCAGTGCCGCGTGTGACCTTTTGGTTAGAAGTTAGGCCATAGTTTTTCATGTATATGGCGAGTCCCTGCTTAGCATGGGGGTTGCGTTCCTGAGAATTGCCGCGTAAAGTGAATGTGTTAAGTGGGGGGAGCGATTTTCCTGTAAGAAATAACAGTGAAGGTAGGGGTGCCATTCCATTGTTGTTTTTATTTGACAGTACATTTTTTTTACAAGTTTCGTTTTACATGTTTTGTGTTGATATAGTATTTCTAAAATTACGCTATGTGTAACACAAATTTATTTAAATATAAAGTTAGTGACGGAGAGATGGCGGGTAAAACATCGCTAGTACTGCAGTACCAGCTTTCAGCATCACCGAACAACGCTGCCAACACCCATGTCGTTCAGAAAAGTAGTCTAACATGCGCTAGACTCGCGTTATAGCTAGTAGTCCATCACACGCTAGACTCTCGTTATAGCGGGTGCGGTGCGCGTTAAGCTAAAAACATTCCATAAAAGAAAAACTTTGTGAAAGTGAAAACGCAGGGATTTAGTGTACTTTAAATCACATCAGATGGTCGCATAAACAGAAGGGGCAGAGGGGGTGAGGGATAACTGATGTCATTGCGTCGTGCTCCTACTTAGCAGAAACAAGTCAGAAGTCGACTAACAAGCATCGCTCATGGTGAGCCTGGCAGGTTTGAGGATTTTGGCATGGGAGCATTAATCTCTAATGGCCCCCGAAAAGCCAAAATAGGACAAAACTCCCAAAAGGAAGGGGCCATTCCACCCAATCAGAGGCATTCTCTTCATCCCTCAAGATAGCTACTTGGCCGTCTCTGCATGGTCAATATTTTTACATCAGTAAAACATCCTCAGCATTGTTAGGGATGTCATGGGTGAGATAAATTTAACTCTTGTTACTGTGTTCATTATTTTCCACGATACACAGAAGGTTTCACGAAACAGTTCAATTCGTTTCTACACTATTCATAAAATAATAATTTACAGCACTGTGTCAATGCATTGCTGAATGAAGGCTTCCCCAGCCCCTGATAGTCATGGGGGTTGTTCGACCATACTTCACCGTGCTGGTCAGTGTGGATTGAGGGAGGCTGGGGCAGGACAGGTTCAGATGTCTCTTTCCGCCCGCGGGAGGAAGCAGTCAGGAAACAAACTCGGGTGGGCCAGGTTCACAGTGTAGTGTGCTATACACCTCGCCACCACTCCACCCCGTACAATATAGCGGTGTTTAATTTAATTTAATACAACAAATCCACGTAAAAATGTGCACGCATGTGAAAATGTATCAAATGTCTTGACGCTTTCTAAAAGCGGTCGCGAGCGCCGTTAGAGGGGAGAGAACGTCTTTGCTGTCCGTTAGCCGTGTCTCGAACGCGAATCTCACTCTGTGAGCGATGACTTCTCAGGTACCACGTTTGACACCACGTCGTGCACGAACAACGGCATTAACACCAGCCAGCCCAGGTGTCCGGTGCTGGGCGTAGACTGGCTCACCATCCTGCTCACCTGCCTCTACCTGCTGTTTGCCAACATCCTGCTGCTCAACCTGCTGATCGCCATGTTCAAGTAACTACGCTACAGTTTATTGGCTCAAGTGTTTCTCTGCCTGCTGCCAAATTGACTTTTTTTTTTAAACGACACTCATACATTCTCTTCTCCTATAACGCGATTGTTGCGTTTCTGAAGAAACATCGCTATATAATAATCATTGATTCAGTTTAACACGTAGGCTTTCGCGACGAATATCATCCATAATATAGGTTTTTGGTTTAGATCGCGTAGAATCAATTAATCATTAATTCATTCATTAAATAAAAAATGAGTGAAAATACATGTTACAGTGTTAGTCGCTAAGCCACTCATTGTAATCAACAAAGCAACATCCCGCCCTGTGTGATGTTACGCGGAGGTAGCCGCACAACCACTTGTTCCTACTCGCGTGATGTAGTTATGATCACCCGATTGCGTTATCTCATCTAAGATATTATATAGCGCTTTCGTCAAAGCGCTTTTAATGCCACAGAACGGTTCTCATTTTATCTACCCCGAATGAATGATGGGTTTAATCAACCCCCTTCCAGTTGGTGCTGAAGCAGAGAGCCTGCACGTTACACGCGTATCCATGTCAACGGCGCACAGTAGATGGGACGGGACGTAAGGTTCTTAGGTTCACGGTGGGGGTAGTAATTTGATAACCGGCTATTAGCAGTGGTGGTGGAGCAAGGCATAAGCAAATTAAGCAAAGGCGTAGGGCCCCAAGGAGCTCACGGGACCCCAGACTGAGCAAAGCAGGGAGTAGCGGTGCACGATAAATCAGCTCAGCTCAAATGTGATTTTGATGACCTCGTTTAGATGCGAGTAAAGCAACTCGAACACTCAACACGTGTTTAAACATCCACGCTGAGCTCTGTCCGTTCGCTGTCTGTCACGGGTTGCAGGGCATGATGTACGTATGCACATATGTCTTTCGCACCGTACGTAGCCAACCCTGCTAATCGGAGGCGCGGGGAAACGCCCGTGAAGATGATTTAGTATGAACGCAAGTTTAGGATGAAGTTGTGTTGCCGTTAGGAAGTCGCGTTGTTTCCAAGCAGCCAAATTGGAGAACACAAACCAGCACTAGAGAGCCGTTCCTCGACGTGGTATTGGCCAAACATCGAAATTCTGAAAAATTACCTGCAAATTACTCAATTGGGATCACACACAGGAGCAGCAACATCGCCCCCTACCATGTAAAACTTGACAGGACCCTCCTGAAAAGGAAACTTGAGGCTTAACGAGGCTTCCTGGGTAAACAAGCGTAGGTGATGACAATGATAATATGCATTAAGTTGAGATATACAAAGCAATTGGGATGGTGCTCACACATGCAACTGGTAAGCACGTATCTTGGTCATAAAAGGCTATTGTAAGTCATCAGCTGACGAATAGTTTAGTGCCTGAGCAGGAGTGGATGTCCTTGTCACGTTGTAGCTACACCTTCCAGTTGGTGCAGGACAACACGGACACCATCTGGAAGTTCCAGCGGTACGAGTTGGTGAACGAGTACCACAGCCGGCCCTCCCTGGCACCGCCGCTCATCGTCTTCAGCCACGTCTACTTATTTGTGAGACGGTTCATCCTCAAGAAGCCCCAACACAAGCACGAGGACTTCAGTGAGACTTCCTTCCCCCTGGTTTACTTCGCGTGATGGCTACCCACTGTCGCGTACATCTCGATTGCACAAAAGCTTCTCTCTCCCTGTGTGCCATGTAATTTCTAAAAATTGTCGGCGATCGTGGCCTTGCTTGGCGCTGTCCATGATACTTCCTCAAGAACTTGGCATCAGATACTCCGCCCAGTTGCATCCTATTGTTCAAATTGCTTTTGTGCTTAATTTGCTTCAAAGACACTGTTAAAAGTATACAATTCCACATTGGTGTAATAGTTATCGCTGCGGCATATACTTTTTCATGAACGAGCATTGTAGCATACAATAACCTTTTAATACATTTCCATGGTTTTATAGACAAAATTATTGTAAATATATATTAATAATGTGTTTCGCTTGTAGCAATCCTACAACATGAGAATGCTAGTATTGCAACTTTGGCAACTTTTATTTTTAATTATTATTATTATCACTACCCTGCTTTACCCCGGGAAATCCTCACCAAGTCTCAACTCTTTTTCAGGAGGGTCAAGTTTTATTTTCTGTAGTGAGTGATGTTTGCTGCTGTGCGTCATCCATTTTTCAATATTGGGATATGTGGCCAATGCCAGTTACATTGTATGTTGTTTTTTAGCTATGGCAGGAAACCCATGCAGAACAGGGGGAGAGAGAACATACAAACTCCACACAGAAAGGCACCCGTGCCAGGAATCGAACCCAGGAGCTTCTTGCTGTGAGGAGTGAGTGTTGGCACTGTGCTACCATGCTGCCCAAAAGTTACAATACTTTTTTCCGATCAGAGCCTACATTGGGAAATTTGGAAAAAAAATGTGCAAAATTATTATTTTAAGTGGTGCAGTGAGTCCTATAAATCCTCAGAATAATTTAAATTTAATGCAGACTCTCTCCCACCAACATGGTGAGTCACAGAATTCACTAGACTCGCCTCCGACCTACAGCATCGCCATTCCATTACGCCTGCTTTAAAACAAAAACACTCATTTACAAATTAATATAACATGCCAAGCAAGGACCCGCATAAGAATTCTTGAGGATTTGGTGAGAATTTCCCTGGGAAAGGTTTTAAATGTTAACCCATCCCTTGTTTTCCCCAAAATCTTACAAAGCAACACAAGGATTGCGAGCGAGGCAGTCGCAATGAGAGTTCATTCCACGTGTTCCCCCCAGAGAAGGGTTTCAGTGAGTCGGAGGAGCGCGAGTTTCTGGCATGGGAGAGCATCATGCGGGAGAGCTACGTGGCGAGCCAGCTCACCGAGAAGAGCCAGAGACTGGAGGAGAGGATTAAGTCGACGGCAGAGAAGTGAGTTCCCCACGGACAATTTAACATTCAATAGTACCGCCGTTGTATGGAGCCTACGCCAGTAATGGGCAACCTGCATCCCGCGGGTCAGATGCGACCCGTGGAGTCCCTCGTGGTGACCTGGTCGAGGTGTGTCTCTTTCACAGTTAATTTCCGTGAAGCGTTTGAAGGTGGGATTACGTACAAGGTGTCTGCAATGCCCTTTCACTCCTGGGTAGCATACGTTTGTGTTGGGCTTAGCCGTGCTTGCTGTTTCTCACACAACAGGGAGATGCAAGCGCCTATAGCTCAGAGTCAGAATGGTGCAGTGTTATGCTTTGTCACAACAATGATGGGCGAGCTATAAGCTCAAGTTGAACACTGCGACGGTGTGACATTTGTATAAGTGAGTACACAAACACGATTTCAAGTTTGTGGCCTACTGAATTGAAGAAGGGACGCTCATGTCACCCACCGACTCGTCTGGGTTGCCCATCACTGGCCTACGGCATCCTCCTCCTCCCGTGGTGCTTTGCCTTAACGATGGGACCCTGGCTGCCATCTTCTCAGCCCTCGTCTGTCCCCTGCCCTCCTCTTCACTTCCACAAACGATCCTTCAGCTCCTACAACGTACTCATCCACAGCTTTCTCTTACCCCTTGTTATAAGTAACATCTAATTGCATATAAACGGCGAGCAACGGAATAATATTTAATGTAAATTGTAATAGCTTAGCCCTTTCCAGTTCTGAGATATTTACAAGTTGTAATGTGGGTCCCGTTTACCGCTCTTTCTCTCCCCCGGGTGCCGCGGGGTGGATTTCCACACAGCTCTCCTCATCGACATGCTAGTTTCTCTGCTCCAGCAGACCCACCTCTCTCTCTGCCCCCCCCTCTATTTCTATTTAAGGCCTCGACACAGAGGCGTTGGGTCTCGGTGTGTCTATGTTGTGTCTCTGTCTCTGTGTTGTCTCTCTCTGCTTGTGTTTCTCTCTGTGTGTCTCTGTGTCTGTGTTTTGTCTCTCTCTCAAATTTAGCAATCTTTGGAAGAACGTAATCAACAAGGTAAGGTGCTGACTGTTGTGTTAGCCGACTCTGTGTTGTATTGCATTGTATTTCTAAGTTCACTAGGTTTGTTTTCTACCTGATGACGATTGCTTGTGTTGCAATCGAGATGTCGTATTCTATTATTTATTTTTTTCTACGTGACTTTACCGAAAGAACCAAATAATATGATAAACGTTTGTTATAAAATACGTAACCTATTACTATGTGAGAGGTTTTGGACAGTTGTGAAATATGTCATGGTGGCATTGTTGTTGTTATTTTGGCATTAACTCCGGTCTGGGATGACACCAGGATGGACTCGGTGATGCAGTTCCTGGATGTTTCTGGGGAGGGCAGAACGGCTGCGTTGGAGGTCCGGCTCCATCAGATAGAAGAGAAGGTCAGTGGAAATGTTGTGGAATGTTGACCCTCCATGCCTGAATTAAATATAGGGGTGCATCAAAGAGCACTTTTACACCTTAACAGGATCCTGAATACCTTATCACCTCCGGTTTACAAAGTTGACTACATACGGTGAAAATGAAGTTCAACATACGGAAAGCTAAAACACACAATTAGAGTATTTGGCTGCTATCATTTGTGCCCAGGTAGCTTCTAAAAAAGAGCTATATAGCTCAGTGGGCCTTACCTGATGAAAAAAAGTTTCATTTTTTAGCCAATTTATGTAACTGGTATTGGCCAAACCTCCCAATGCTGAGATATCAGCAAACTACTCAATTGGGAGTACACATCGCAACATCGTCTCTTGCTGTCAAAACTTGGCAAGACCAGCCTGAATAAACAAGCGCAGTGATGATAATTACACTATGTAACACAATTTCTGTTCCTGGGTAGTAAGTGTTATTTCGTAATTGCTTATGCCTAAAAAGTATAGAAAATGGCTATTATTCCCCACAAACTTTGCTTTTGTGACCAGGACAGTGATATTTTGAAATTTACATAATTTCAATGAGAAAACGGGCGAATATGTGTCTTTTCGTTCACATAAAGTCAGAAAACAACAACATATGAATCAAAATTAACATATATTTATACTAAAGTAATACAAAAATGACTACAAAATATTTAAAAGTGAGTAGATTTTCGAGATTTACGATTATACTATAAATCACTTTCATGAATCAGCCCCCAAATGTAGTCTCCCACATCATGTTCTTGTTATCCTGTCCTTGGTAGCGGCGTTCAAAGTCCAGTATATCCGGTGGAAGAGCTCGCCTTGCTCCTCCGAGTACGCTCCTATGTTCTCCTTGAATTTATCAAGAGGGACATCCTACAGCCCATTGTGCCGTAGTTCTTCACCAGAGTCTGAACCAGATCCACATAGTTTTCGACCTTGTGATTGCCCAGGAAGCCACGAATCACTGCGACAAAGCTATTCTAAGCCTCTTTCTCCTTACTAGTGAGCTTCTTGTGGAATTCATTGCACTCCAGGATGTTCTTTATCTATGGTCCGATGAAGACACCGGCTTTGACCTTTGCCTCAAACAGCTTAGGGAATAAGTCTTGAAGGTACTTGAAGGCTGCCGACTCCTTATCTACAGCTCTGACAATTTGCTTCATAAGGCCCATGTGATGTGCAGTAGTAGCATCAGCACCTTCCGGGGGTCCACCAGTGGCTCCCACTTGGCGTTGTTCCTTCCCACAGAGAACTCGGTCCACTGTGGCCAGTCCCACCTGTGGTAGTGCGCCTTGGTGTCCCTGCTGTCCCAAAGACAAAGATAACAGGGAAACTTGGTAAAACCGCCTTGGAGAGCCATCAGGAATTCCACTATTTTGAAGTCTCCGATGACCTCCCAGCCGTACTCATCATACTTCAAGGCGTCCAGCAAGGTTTTGATGCTGTTGTAATCCTCTTTGAGGTGCACCGAGTGAGCCAGGAGAAGAGACGGGTACTTGTTACCATTATGGAGCAAGCACGGCTTTGAGGCTCCTGGATGAGCTGTCAATGAAGAGGCGCCACTCATTTTGGTTACAGGCGATTCCGATTGCCTCGAACACACTGGTCACATTGTGGCAGAAGCAGAGCCCATGTTGATGGATGACGAAGCTGCAAAAAGGTTGATGATGCTTCCTCTGATCTGCGACTTGCACACTTTAATCCAACAAGTTCCATTGCTTGAGCCTAGATGTCAAAAGCTCGGCATTGGACTTGGTGAGACCAAAATCTCTGATCAAGTCGTTGAGGTCTTTTTAGTTGGGGTAGTATGAATTTTTCTCCTCAGCTCCACCTCTGAAATTGTCATCTGGATGTACAATGTCTTCTTCGCTCTCTGACTTGCTGCTCTCTTCTAAAGACGGCCACTCTCTCTCCGGAGGAGTGGGTAGGGGAAGCTCATGGCAGTGTGGCACCGGGGCGATGGATGAAGGAAGGTCCGGATACGTGATAGCAGGTGCATTCTTGCCAGTCCGACGTTTGGAAGGGTCCACCATGCAGAAGTAGCAGTTGCTTGAGTGGTCAGTGGGTTACCGCCAAATTCTTAAGATAGCGAACTTCATGGCTTTCTTTTCCCCTCTGTACCATCCTACAAAAATACATTTATTTCACCAATTATTAATGTGTCAGATTCTTGGAACATTTTTCATATATGATATATTTTTTCAATAACATTGAAAATTGAAAAAATTTTAAAATTAAAAACTTTTACAATTTTTTTTTATAACATAAAATTCTGAGCAACAATTGTCCATCTTACCTTCCAGAGTTGTTTTTGCATTGTTTGCAGGTGAAATGAGGTGCCCAGGGTTTGTCTTGATCCCCTACAGGCATGCCGAAATATGCCTTGTAGGCCTCACACATCTTAACAGAGTACTTTTTCGCTCTTGTCTTGATAAATTAGCCGCAGACATAGCAAAATGCGTCTGCCGGATGCTTTCAGCCTCTTGATGCCATCTAAAAAAATTGCAGATATGTATCCACTTGGGCAGCTGGAACTAAACTGAACGGTAGGCTTAAGGCCCCTGTATTTATACTACTATTTATATTACTGGACAGTTCTAGAATGTTCTAAAAGTTACTCCAAGTTTACTCAGCAGTGAATCTATTTTGATTGTTCTAGAAAATAGGTAAATAAAAAAATATCACTGTCCTGGTCACCAAAGCAAAGTTTGTGGGGTATAATAGCCATTTTCTGTACTTTTAAGTAATTAGGAAATAACACTTACTACCCAGGAACAAAAAAAATGTGTTACACAGTGTTATTATTGTACATTTGGCACATGCGAATTAGTCTACTGATGATCGTTGATTGGATTGGTAATGAAGTTTTTCCCATGCAGTAAGGTGGTGTGTGGTCTCATGGGGGTGTTAGATGTAAGAAAAGGGAGGATATTCGTGACTTCTTGTCGTGAGTTGACCACTCGTTTAACCAAGAAAGAGCAGGTTGGGGAAACACAAGCGGAGTGGCGAGACAATTGCAGGGTAGATGTTTGTGGAAATGACGCATTTGCAGGTTGTTGGGGAATCTGTAAGATGTACGTTTGGCTGGAAGGTGTACGATGTACGTTGTGCACCTCTAATTACCACGGTTGGCTACATAGGTTGCGAAATAATTTCAACATACATACATTGCCTGTCTTTGTTAAATCGGTCGTTAATTGAGCAGATGCCTGTATCATTCCAGGGCTGTCAAAACAGTCTTTGGTGGTAATTTCTGAGTAAGGGGTGAAGCCAGACTGTGCAGTGCCCAGGGTTTGTGCAGTTTTTCAGATGCTTAATGTCTGGGATAATGTAGAGAAGGTGGTTAGGGAGCAGTCTGTAGGAGTTTCTGAAATGAGATGCTAAAAAGACAAAGGGACCAGTTGAACTAGACCTGACTCCCTTATTTTCTGTGTTGTTTTTCAAGAGGTGAGATACCACTCAAGGGACTTGTATTGGCACCATCATACGAGCACAGACCGATAAATATCACCACTGCTGCTATTGACACTCGTATGACAGAGACATTGTGGGCTAATGTTTCTGGTTATTGTTCCTCTTCTTGCCTGTGCTGTATTATAGAGATGTAATTGATCGTTTTCAGCATTCCATAACTGACTGACATCAAATGTTCCTTTCCACATAGCATTTCATGCTCGATATAAATTGTTTTATTAATCACAGAGAAGTGCACGGCCATTCCAGACTTTCCATTCTTTAGTTTGGCAAAACATTCCATTGATTGATTCTAAATGTTTACCCTTAACGGCTCAATCTCATCTAATTGTATATTTACAGAACACCTTCAACTCAAGATGTCTGACTTAGTTAAAAAAACGGTGACATGCAAGAAGTGAGGAATAGTGAACTGCATGACTCTAAGTGTCAAAAATGTAGTTCTAAATTGAGCGAATGATGTTCTGAACTTGTGAAAACTGTTGTTGTTTTTGTCTGTGTTTGCACCAGCTGGGTATAACAGTTGATGCGCTCGATTGGATCACCAAGGCTCTCTGTGACAAAGGCATTGGCACCAAGGAGACGAGGCCTGCCCTCAAGTGTAAGCCCTTCATTATACAAACAACTGCATGGCCCCTAGAGCAGTGGTGGGCCAACTTGCGTCCTGTGCCGCCCTCGTGGTGGTGCTGGTCTCGGTGTCTCTAGGGTGATGTGTGGGGTCATGACGAGATGCACAAGCACGGTGTCATGCTTGCGGCCCACTGAGGTGAAGGAGGTCCACCCATGTGGCCCATAAACTCCTCTGCCGTTGCCCATCGCTGCCCTATAACATGCAAACAAATACTGGGACATTCGCAAACTCATGTACACAAGTTGTTTATAATATTAAGGTCACGATTTCTTACGGTTTTTCAATGCAAGTGTCTTGGATTCAGCAAGCAGCTGTATCCAGGAAGCGAGATTGTGAGGCTAAAATACGGTCACGGTTGATGAGTGACTTGTTAACATGAAATAACTTCCCTCATATCTATGGGACTCTATTTGCTGGTATCAAGATGATGTATTATTGCCGGAAAGGGTAACACCTATTCCCTCACAGTGAATGCATAGTTGGCTTGAGTATACAGGGGCCAATTTACAGTTCATTTGCTGGAAAGGTCCGATTTTTGGCAAAATTGCTGATGTTTCCAGGAGCAGTGGGACAAATCACCGAGTGAATGTGTTTTTGGCGTTTAGTGAATGCGGTACAGTGCAGCATATACAATTGCTCCATTCAGTTTCAGTTCAGCATTCATTCCAAGTACTCGAATATTATGATTGTTGAATAATGCTTTGAGGTTGTTTTTCCCAATTTTAATGGAATTTTTTATTTGTATTTTATGGCAGAAATCCCTACATTTGGTTTCTCATTGAAGGTGTGAACTTTCGGTTGCTGCAGTGCAAAATGCCCTCCAAACGTGAATTTCATGCTGCTAGCCAGTGGGATGCTATGCTCGTTTATAACCCTACTTTTTCCACATAACTGTATGGAGTAGGATTTTGAATACTGCAGGCACAATATATTACTTTACTATTATCTAGCATCATAAAAAATAAAATCGCCAGAATGAGTGCCATTTGCATTGTCACTCTGGATTCCTTTTGTTGTTATTATTATGAAGTTTGTTTACGCAGGAAACCTTCACTGAGTCGAAAGACTCATTTTCAGGAGGGTCCTGGCAAGTTTTTGCAGGAGAGGGGTGATGATTTTGCTGCTGTTTGTGAGATTCCAGTTGAGTAATTTGCAGAGAATGTTTCAGCATTGGGGTGTTTTCTTTGACCTTTTTTTATTAAGTCCCTGGTGAAAAAAATAATAATACGTTCTCATCGCTGGATTGTGTCGCGTGCGATGTGTGCTCTATCCACAGTTCTGACGTGGTGTGATCGTTAGCAACAGCAACAGGGCCAGGCACAATTCTTCATTTTAAAATAATTGCAATAAGTGAAGGAAAAATGCCAGCCGTACCGAGTTATTTTAAATGCAAGAAATGTGCGGTGGGAAAAGAAAAACAAAATTAGTCACGGGCCCTGACAAGTTGATGTGTTTTGTGATCACATGTTCCTCGCGTATACGCTGAGGCTAAATAACAGCCACAGAGCAGAGGCGCGGCCTCAGAGTTCCCTGTACCAAACGCGTGGGCAGCGCGACTCCACCGTCTATGGTGAAATCTCGTGTAGCATTTGTTCCCCTGTGCGTTAATGATATAATTACTCCTTCACACCCAGCGACTTCTGTCAGTGCTATCCGATCTCAACCATATGGTGCCTAACTTAATACGTTTACTTATGTTCTGCCTGAATGAAATTAGAATGCTTTCAACTTAAAATCAATTCCAATGTTTTTGTTATCATGTACATTAATAACAATATATAAACATGCACTCGTTTTGCATTTAACATGAAATCATTTTATGAGCCATTAGTTCCATTGCAATGCCATGGATAGTCGATGTGTGTTACTATTGGTGATTCTGCTTTGATAAACTACCTATATAACGCAAACAGTTCACGTTTGGCATGTGGTATTCATTTCACAAACTTTGCAAATGGATTATACTCGATTCCACCCAGGTGTCATTCATTTGAGAAGCCATTCCTGATGCAAGCACCGTTATGTTAGCTGTAGAAACTTTTTAGCACTAAAACGTACAAATTCTATCAAAGGAGAAATACAATGTGTCCATACAACAGTTACATAACTGATAGCGCTAAATAGGCAAAGATTTTGTGTGCTAAGAACAGCAATTGAGAGACCCCATAGCTGGCGAATGGTGCTGAAAGCCCCGCCGTACCGTGCACCAATGCCGGCCCCAGAAGTCGCAAGCCAAAGCGCCTCCCCTATAAAGCAATGAGGTCGCTCCCATCTCAATTGGTGGCCCTGAGCCAGTGGTGGGAATTCCACATTACCGTGACAGAGCCGTGTCTTTGTAACTGGCTTTCCATATATTGGTGCTCATTTAAATAATTTCCAGGAGGACGAGACGCTAAGTTGACTCCCAGCTAGTATTTTAACGTGTATAGGCCTTCCTTTTGAGAGTCAAGGGTTCTGACCGATTGTCTGCATGCCCCAAAGTTGATTGCATCTCGTGGGTTAATATCTTGTGTAAGTGTGCGTGTATTCGTAACCTTGCACGAAATTAACAGCGCATTTTCTTTTATCAGCCCCGACAGTGAAGGGCCAAAAGAAGTGAAGAGAAGCCACTGCTTTTAAATGCAGACAAGGAAACACGGCCATTTCGCCCAAGCCAAGCCATTGGTTCACGTGCACGCACCAGCGGAGCAGCCTACGCGTCGATGCTGCAGGGAAACCTTCGCAGGAGTGAAACAAGTTCTGTAGATATTTCAAAAAATGTGCGCCATGGTGTACACTGCACAAAAAACGCCTTTTCCTGTTATGAAAGCCAAAATACAAACAAAACAAGGTTGACTGTAGCACTTTAACTTTGATGACAGCATTTAGGAACTGAGTTGGATCGTAGATTGAGTTCGTTAGCAGCTGAATGTATTTTTTGTATTAATTCATGTGGCAGTGGGCAGGGGAGTGATCCTATAATTTCTAGATTTGTTTTTCTTCCGCGTGTCACCTTTTAATGTTGTCTAACTCTGATTGCGAGTGCGTTAATAATGCATTAACTCCGTCCGCCTGTGTCCGCCTCTCAATAAGGCTCATGAAGTCACAGTACAGTAACAGCAACTCTCGTAAAACGGATCCAGTGTGAATGAAACGTAACGATAGTTTTTTCTTGCTATTGTGGACAAATCCTACAGACAACCGGTGGGGCAGTTGGCCACTGCGTCAACGGCGTTGATCGAAGCTCGGCTTTGAAGGCCAGTGATGATTAGGAGAGCCTCTCTTTCGGCAAGGGGCAACGACCACGGAACATCAATCTGTGGCATCGCGTTACATGCGTCGTCCTCTCGCAACAATAATTGGCGCGTCATTGGACGACTCCATTGCACGCGCGACAATTGAATTTATGTTGCCGTGTCGCGTGGTGGAGAGATAAAAACTAAAAAATATATTTGCCGGATTGTTACACAACTTCCCCCAAATCATAAATAAAGACTCAAATTATCATTGACATTGAATGTATGGAAAATGATAAGGACAGCATGTTAAAGGCAGCTGCTGATGAGATGCCCGTGTGGAGGTGTTGAATTAATGTCTGCATGCCCCAGAGTTGGACTACCCAACAACACGTGTAGACTACCACGAATGCTTATCCATCTCCAGCGTGTGGTTAGGTAGGTACAGGGTCTGAGTACAGTTTGATTATGGGGGTTCTTCAGTGTAGATGACGATGGTAAGTCCCTCATCCTCAGTTTTCTTTTGGTTACACCCCAGAATTCCTCCATGCATGATGCCGGAGCCGTACAATGTTTTGTTGTGACATTGTCACACACACCCTTGTGCTGTTTGTTTACTGTTTTTTTGTGTTGTGGTAAAAACAAATGTATCTCAAGATTTTGAACCCATCTTTTTGCAGTCTGCAGGAAGACTTGGTGATTAATATAATTTATATTTATAGTGTGCATTCACTCAATGCGCTTGACGTAGTTTACGAAACGATGACAATGGAATGATGTAGTTGATTGGGGCGTACGAGGATGGAGGAATGAGTGACAGCGATAGAGGGATACTTAGGGATCACGAAAGGGCTGTTCGGGAGGGACGGGAAGGAATGGAGGAGCGAGGAGAGGGAAGATAATGGGCAATGGAGAAGAGGTGAAGCTTTAATAGATGACTGCTCAGTGTATGGTTGTGACACCTGCACAAGTCTTCATAACAAAGCTAGAGGTATGTGACAATGCGACCGATTCATGGTGTCGGTGATGCAACCATCGCATCAGCAAACTAAGCACATGGCCGAAATACAACCAGTCGAGTGATATTTGATAACACACACGATATTAAATGTCATTGTTAAGTCTGTTAATATTCAAATTCTATAACAGCACTGGTAATTTGGCATTTATTACTGCAGTACTGTATTGTATACATGGTAAATTTCACATCAGTCAGATACAATATAAGGATCTGTCGTGAATGCTATATTGTCATGTATGTACACTGTTGGAAAGCTTGATGAATATTTCACAAAATTGTGTTCAATGTAAAATCTGATTCATCACGATAATGTGTCACTACTTTATAATCTTCTCATTATATTTTATCACATTATTTCGGCATATATTGAGGTGGAGCAGTGGCACAGTGATTAAAGCACTGCACTATGACCCATGTAACCCAAGTTCAATGCCCAGCCATGGCTAAGATCAATGGCAAGTCGATATATGTAGAGTTATACCTCGGTTAACAAAGTAGATGCTTTCGATGATGTCACTTCCTTATCAGAAAGGTCAATACCAGAGGTAGATATGGGAGGCATAAGGATGCGTTCCAGGACTTCAGAGAAGGGGGCTACAATAGTAAAACATTGCTGCACAGTGGCTTTCACGTCTGCTTGTTTTAAAATTGTCTCTAAGATGGACTGCGCCAACCATAACGCGCCACTTCAGGTTTCATCTCCCTCGCCTCTACCCGTCCTCCTTACCATCTGCATTTTGGTTTCCAGAGATGAATTTGCGCTGCATTCTTTGCCCAATGAGGCAACTAGCACGAGACGGTCGGTTGGATGACATAATGGGGGAAGCTAAATAACTTTAATCACTGCAAAAAACATGATGACATTCCAGCGAGTTCAAGCAATGGCGGGCAGGGGGAGAGGGAGGTCTCGCGATGCTCTTCGCTGATCGGCTGTTGGTAATGTCCAGTAAACAGACCCCACTCAATTGCGGTTTACAGGACACGTGCAGCGTTTAAAACATTCATTTGAATCGATTTGCATTATTTCCCATTTTCGATTATACTATTTGTACAAAAATATGGGGGGGGGGGGTGAAAATGGACCCTCCACGGCCGACTATAAAGGAGCTTTGTCCCCAGAGGATTCGTCAACCGAGGTATTTATGCACCTCCGATTAGCACGGTTCGCTACGTATGGTTCGAAAGAAGTTCAACATACATGCTGTTTAACACGTCGGCTTAACACGTAGTCTTTCGCGACCAATATTATTAATAATCAACGTTTTTGGGTTAGATCGCGTTATTCATAAATGTGTCGTAACCCTCCACCACCCGACACGGCCAATCAGCAAAAAAGTGTCACGTTGACAAATGACAAATAAATTTCGATTTAAAGCTTTCGTGACTGCAGGGATTCATCTTCTTGGTTCTTTCGGTAAAGTCACGTAGAAGGGAAATAATAAAATAATAAAAATAAAACATAATAAAATAATTCTCACGACGTTTCGGCCACAACGCAAGCAGCCGTCCTCAAGTGAAGAACAGGTCTGTCGGAAAGACAGCGTCTGAATGGGCACCACCAGGCTTGGCAGTGTATATTTAAGCGTGAAACCACAAGATTTACAATTTTTTGGTACGTTGTACTCAACATTTTTTGAGTATGTCGTACGCAAAAATTTAAAATGTTGTGGTTTCACGCTTCAAAATACTGGTGGGCTAAAGCAGGGAACTATTTGTCTTTTGTCAACGTGACACTTTTTTGCTGATTGGCCGTGTCGGGTAATGGAGGGTTACGACACATTTATAAATAACGCGATCTAACGCAAAAACGTTGATTATGAATACATGCTGTATTGTATATCCAACCTGCACGTAACATTAGCATGAAGCATGGTCACACAACGCCCATAATTGACACGGCATGGTTAGATGACTTCATCCAGAGGTGGACTGACAAAGCGCCAAGAACATTATTGTACCGTTGCGTAAGGGACGGCCGAGAGGCAAACCCTATTAAGTAATGCACAAACATTCCCTGTACTCAAAATAGTACCTACCCTGTACTCGCCGGGTCTAACGGCTCGTACATTCAAAGTAGCGCGCTCGACTCTCATTGGCGAGAAGCTGTCAGGGAGGGAGGAGCCAAACGTAAGGTACATTATTCTATTGAAAAGTGGAGAACCACTCAAGTCCGATTGGTCGCCGGGATAAAATTGAATGAGCAGGGGGGGGGGGACCACATGCAAATGAAGGGTCGGTTTGGAGACTATTGGGAGAGATGAAGGGGATCGGTGAAGTCGGGGAAAGTTCCAAAAAGGACGGGGAAGAGGATACAAGGAGCGAGGAGACAGAGTTCGAGGCGGCGCCTGAACGGAGTAACTCTGAAGTGTTACGCGCTCTGCTGAAGACGGAATCAAGTCCAAGACTTACTTGGGGACTGGAACTCCTTTACAATTGTTTTGCAAATGTTTAATATGCCAGAAAACACACTAGTTGTGTGAGCGTCAGTTCGCCTGAGTTCCCAGGTGCACAGTATCCATATATCTTCTTGGTTCTTTCGGTAAAGTCACGTAGAAGGGAAGTAATAAAATAATATATATAAGCTGGGCGCATTGATGCGCCCAGCTTATATCTATATATATAAAATCGTTCATGTCTGTGTGTCTGTGTGTGTGTGTGTGGACTGCACTTTCATTGGACGGCGGTTGCCCCTGGCAACGGCTAGCCACGCCTTCGCAGCTTTCATTGGACGGCGGTTGCCCCTGGCAACGAGTAGCAACTTTTCTCCGCGGGGTGGACGCCATTTTTAATAGCGCGGCGGGGGGGGGGGGGGGGACCGGCACCCGTACCCAGCGTTCGCCGGGTGGGAAAATCAGGCAAGGCGGGAGGCTCTGCACGGTGCTAGGCCTCGACACCCAACACGCCACTCTGAGGTAAATTCATACAAATTTCACGTCCTCTACAGAGTGGCGAGGGAGGCAGAGTGGCGAGGGAGGCAGAGTGGCGAGGGAGGGACTCAGCCTCAAAACGAGTAACTGGTGTGGCGTATTAACATCGCCACTGGGGAGACAAAGGCGGCCGGGCCTGGTGGATACAAGTCCCGGGCAAAGCCGGGTCATGACTATGTGTGTATGTGTTTATGTGTATGTCTGTGTGTCTGTATGTATGTGTGTATGTATGTGTCTGTATGTGTTTGTGTGTATGTATGTGTGTGTCTGTATGTATGTGTGTGTGTATTGTGTATGTGTTTGTGTGTATGTATGTGTGTGTTTGTATGTATGTGTATGTTTGTGTGTATGCATGTGTGTGTATGTGTTTGTGTGTATGTGCGGTTATGTATGTGTGTGTATGTGTGTGTCTGCAGCAAGCACGTGTATGTGTACCTATGGACGCGCGCGCGTGTGTTGTGTAGGGGGAACGGTAGTGTAGTGCTTAGCGTGCTGCCTGTGTCTATGTGTGTGTGTCTGTGTGTGTGTCTGTGTGTGTGTGTCTGTGTGTGTGTGTCTGTGTGTGTGTCTGTGTGTGTGCGTGTGTGGTGTGTAGGAGGAACGGTAGTGTAGTGCTTAGCGTGCTGCCTGTGTGTGTCTGTGTGTGTGAATCAGTCGAGCGGCAATATCTTTTCATCGGTTGCGTAACGCTGTGTGGAAGCTACCTGGTCTGTCGCTCCGCACGAAGCTTCAGGTCTTCTCGGCCACGGTCATTCCCTCCCTTCTCTACGCTTGCGAGACGTGGACCCCCCTGGTGGAGCATCTTCGCCGGTTGGAAACATTTAGGCTGGCCTGCCTACGATCCATCCTGGGTTTAACCAGGCTGGATTGTGTGAGGAGCTCACAAATCCTTGAAAGATCTGGGCAAAGTCCCATCAGTGAGCTCCTCCGGCAGGCAAGGCTGCGTTGGCTGGGTCATGTAGCCCGCATGCCCAGCCACCGCATGCCTAAACAGCTTTTGTTCGGCCGGATCGAGGGGGCTAGACGGGCGCGGCACGGGCTGGAGAAGAGATGGAGTGATGTGGTACAGGAGGACGTGGAGCTGAGTGGACTTGCCGATGACTGGTACCAGCGGTGTCAAGATCGGCCTCAGTGGAGGAGGCTCGTGAAGGACGCTACTGGGCAGTTGGAGGCAGTCGCCCTCCAACAACAACGGAGGGCGGAGGAGCGACGCTCACAACAACGAGCGGAGCGCCGGGTGGCTAAAGCACAGCAAGTTGGCACAGTAGGGGGCACAGGTGGTGCATCAGCCAGTCATCTCGGTCATCTCGGTCAGTCGACCAGTGGCACCTGGGTCTGCCCCGTGACCTCCTGCCAGCGGGCTTTCGACACTTCACGTGGCCTCAAGGTGCACTTGGCCTGGCACAAGCATCGTGGTGACGTCACCGCCACTTAGTGGCGAATGGCGGTTGTTGTTGTTGTTGTCTGTGTGTGTGTCTGTGTGTGTGTCTGTGTGTGTGCGTGTGTGGTGTGTGGGGAGCGGTAGTGTAGTGGTTAGCGTGCTGTCTGTGTGTCTGTGTGTGTGTGTCTGTCTGTGTGTGTGTTCTGTGTGTGTGTCTGCGTGTGTGGTGTGTGGGGAGCGGTAGTGTAGTGGTTAGCGTGCTGTCTGTGTGTCTGTCTGTGTCTGTCTGTGTGTTTCTGCGTGTGTCTGTGTGTGTGTCTGTGCGTCTGTGTGTGTGAGGAGCGGTGGGTGTAGTGGTTAACGCTACGCTGCGCTACCAACCCGGCGAACCGAGTTAGATTCCCGCTCATGGCCACCACCGATCAAGATTATTTGAACCTCACATAGGTCGACTCAGCCTCAAACGAGTAACTGGTGTGGCGTATTAACATCGCCATTGGGGAGACAAAGGCGGCCGGCCGTGGTGGATACAAGTCCCGGGCGAAGCCGGGTAGTACAGCTAGTATATATATATATGCTCCAAGCTCGTGTGCTGTTTCATTCAGACTCTGTCGCCTCGACGGACCTGGTTTTCACCTGAGGACGGCTGCTTGCGTTGTGGCCAAAACGTCGTGAGAATTGTTTTATTATGTTTTATTTTTATTATTTTATTACTTCCCTTCTACGTGACTTTACCGAAAGAACCAAGAAGATGAATCCCTGCAGTCACGAAAGCTTTAAATCGAAAAAGTATCCATATATATTATTTTACACTACAAGCTATCCCCAACTTACCATGTTATTTTTTTATCATCCCACTTGCGAACGTTCGCTCGTACTTGTGAACCAAACTATTTTGTTTGCCGGAGTGATCCTCGGTGAGATGTAATGAGTCTAGCACCCCGCTGGCAGTGAGTGTATGTATGTATGTGTCTTTACACGTTCGCACATGTGTGAGAGTGTCTTTGTATGGGGAGCGGTAGTGTAGCGGTTAGCACGCTGCGCTACGAACACTTTCCTGCTCCCCCACGCAGAAGATTCCACCAAATAAGTGGATGATAGTGGAGCCACGTCAATCAAAATCAATCAATTCCACCCACTTTTAGAGATATGCAACTACTGTACTGTAGAGTCGATTATGTGGACTTCAGAATAAGTGGAGCATATATGTCTTCGGTTTAAGCACATGACTTGTAATAAACATTCCCAAGAATAAAAATGTAAAACTGTTTATAGATGATTAATTTGGGTTTAAGGAAAAAATCATTAGTTAATCATTGATGTCAAAATCTCAGGTGCACGGTTAATCTGCAAATTGGATAAACCGCACGCAAATACTGTATTGAGTTCTGAGGTCCGAACAAATCGACTTGCGAATGGGTCTCATGAATGGAACCCGTTCATAAGTCTGGAACTGCCCCGTACAGCAAGAAATATCATGTGGCTGAACCTCACTGCCTCGTTCACTGGAGTCTGGGAACACCGCGTCACCTGGGACCCACGATGGGCCGCTTGGGACATAAGATGGAGACAAGACAGCACCCGTGTGTTCTTCCGCGGCAACATCATCGTGAGCAGTGCAGTCACCATGCGTAGAGGAATCTCGCGGTCAAGCGCGAATGGTCGAGCCACAGGGGCGTGATCGGCGAATTGTATCTCAATAAATTTGGCAAAAAAACGCGAAAGCTAAACCCCCGCGAGAGGGAGAGGTTTGCTGTACATTCATAATCAGCATCAAACTCTAAAGCATCACGTAAATCAATACCACGTGGTGGCCACTAAAGAGAAAACATTCCCGATGAGATCACTAAAAGTTACACCACCTCCTGTCATGCTTCATGTGCATTTTCTTGAATTGAATTAAGCTGAGCTTACAGTGGCGAGCGCTATCTGAACTGCCCCCCCACCCCTTCGCCCAACCTGTACGGACAAGCGTGGTGAGGTATGGTCAAACAATCTCATGATCAACATTGTGTAAGAAAGATCCTCATCCAGGAG